TTTATATTAATTAACAATAATTGATATTTATTAATATTAGTAATATTTAAATTTTATTATTATTTCTTATAATTAAAATTAATAAATATTAATTAATATTAATGAGGATTATAATTGAAAAAAATGTGACATTAAACTATCAAAATACTACTCCAAGTAGCGATTCAAACGCTTGCCCAGAAAATAAGGTAGCTTATAGCTAGCTTAATTTTGCCAAACAATATCCAAATGACCTTATGATAATCATCAGAGGTTATGCTTGGTATATCAATTTGTGTTATTATCATGTTCACCTATATAGAAGAAAGGCTTGCTCAATTCTAGTGTGTAAAAGTAAAACTATGAATTTGAACCTCGTAAGTTTACGGGTCATTTACAAATCGTTTACATGGTAAGAGCGTTTACTGCCATTTTACCTTACTAGATGAACATTGGTAATGACAGAGAAACTTACCCGGTAAGACCGATGACAAGGACCAAGAGTCTTACTCAGTAAGTGAGAGATGACGACTCTTATCCGATTAATCTTTAGTGTAAAGAGTGATTCATTTTAACACCAAATATAATATTATAAGTATAGATGGAGGTTTAAACGAGAACATCTCTATTTTACAAGAACGCAAGAACATCTTTATCACATGTGATAATATGCATGAGGGGACCCTGTGATATGCGGACGACGTGTTCCATGACTTAGGCCGCATCAAAGGTTGTCTGTGTCTATGATTTAATATCACATGTGATGATCTTGATAGATTATAATATCATATCAACAACACTCTTATCATATGTGATAATACTTGTGAGGGGGCTTAGTGGTGTAAGAGCGACTTGACCCGCAACCAAGATCGCATCGAAAATCGCCCTCGCCTCTGATTTAGTTCACATATATATCATATGTGATGAAATAATAGTATCATATGTGATTGTCTATAGTAAAAATATGTTCTTCCATTTTCATAAAATGAAGGTATTCTCGTTTGAACTTTTCCTTATAAGTATAATCCTTATTTCTAACTTCTAAAGATTTTCAATAATACCCCTTATAATAATTAGTTGTTTACGAATTCGACCCATTCATTTTTTTTTTTACGATTGCTTTATAAATTGTAGAGTAAACTACGATTTTCATCCTTGTGGTTTGTGAAATATTGCATCTTTTTACCCGTGGTTTTGAAATTTTGATTATTGTCCCTATGGTTTATAATTTGTTTCTTTTTTCATCCTCATAGTTTGTAACTTATTGCTGTTTTCATCCCTAAGACTAAATATATTTAAAATAGTCCATTTAGTGTAGGGGTATTTTAGTCTTTTTGATTTATTAAATATTTTTGTTGGTATTTTAGTCTTTTTGATTTAATCAAACAATATATATGTTTTTGATAAAAGAATTAATACATAAAAAATTATATTATTTTGATATTATTTATGATAAAATATTTAAATAATTTTCATACAATTTGTTATTTCATATTTTCCGTCATTCTAGTTTTAGTTTCTTATTAGTTCAATTTCTGTCAATAACGTCATTTAAGTGCAAGTCGATAAATACCCCTCACATGATAATATTTTAAATCATTTTTCTTTATTAAGGATTAAATTATTAAACTTTTTATAAGACCAAATAATTAATTATATTAGACTATTTTTACCGAATAAATGTTTATAATTTTATTACTTGAACATATATTTTATAAACTTATTGTAACACATTTATACAAAAAATACATTTGTTTAGTATAACTGAATGATTTATGAGACTAAACAATTGTACATCCTATTAATAAAATTGCATACGTTTGTTTGGTAAGAAATAACGTAAAAATAGTGAACTGTTTGGTCTTTAATAAAGAAAAAAGAAATAAAATACTCTTATGTAAGAGATACTCAACGGTTTGTACTTGAACGATGTTAGTGACATAAATCAAACTCAGAAAAAAGTACAATCATAATGATAAAAAAAAAAAGAAACCAAATAATATATTTAATTAACTAAAATAAAAAAAAAATAAATCAAAAAAAAAAAAAAAAACTAAAATACCCCTAAGTCAATTGAAGGGGTTTTAACATATTTAGTTTCAAAGAAGAAAAAACAGTAATAAATTACAAACCATATTGATGAAAATCGCAATTTTAAAACTACAGAAAACCACAAGGCTAAAAATCATAGTTTACTCTAAATTATAATGTTATAGAATTGTAACCAAAATGAAGTATTTGTAGATAATTGGTTCATTTTACTTAAAAAAAGACAAATAATTCACAGTAAAGGTGACCTTCACAGTGTTTTTGTTGTGAAAGTAATTTTCACAGTGTTTTTGCTGTGAAGTTCGAAGTCTTTTACCTTTATAATGTTCTGTTATGAAGTTTTAAATGTTTTAAATATTAAAAAGTATTTACTTTTTAAATAAATTTAAAAAGAGAAAAGAAAATCATATATACTTCCTAAGTTAATGTAAGATATAATTTATAAATATGATATTCACAAATATTTAAACAAAATATCCTCTACAATCAAATAAATTAAAAGCACATAAATATGTAATTTGAAGCACCATTTTGTACTTAAAAAAAAGTATAACACCAATTTGATGTAAATGAACAATATAATATTAAATTTGGTATTATACTATTTCACCAACACATCAGATGATATAAATTTGATATCAGATTAAAATGATTCGGTGTAAATTACATATCAGATGTTTTTAATATGACAAATTTTAATAATTATTAATTCATTTTAATATTGGATTTTAAAAATCGTCGTTAAAAGCATATTAATAATCAATAATGATGGTTTTGAATAATTTGGATAAATATATTTACGATAACTGAAATAATCTTTTGATGGATAAATGAGGTACCAAGCCTTTAGTCGATTAAATACGCATGCTAATTCAAGAGTAAATTACAAATTTGTCCATAGTCTATAAATTTTACAGTTCTCGTCATTGTGATTTGTAATCTGTTGTTGTTTTCACGATTTGACTAATATAAATTATATTACATATTTCGTGAAACAACAGGGACAAAACTTTCAGTTTCATTCTCTTTACCGTTGTGGTCTTGATCATGGCTAAAGCCTCCATCACCGTCGAGCTCAACTGCCACCACATTCTTCCTCCTCCCTGTCCTAATACCTCGCCACCACCATCCCTATTTCGACACGATCCACTACATACCACCACCTTCCCCCCTTTCATCTGTCTGTAAAACCATGACAAATGGAATAGATCTCAAGGATTTGAAGTAATCGGAAATCGAGAAAGTTCAACTAGAATAGAAGCAATTGGGCAGTGAATCTACACTGATAACATCAAATTATTGGTGGATGTTTTTAGACTTAAATAGTTTGGTTTGAGCTTGGTTTCAAAGATCAAAAGTGTCTGGAGGTCCCATGTTCAAATCCAAGAAGGAACAAAAATCCCCTTGTGGCCATGGAGGTTCAAATGCGGTACTCCAGGCTACCTGCAAAACATGTGGTCGTCATAGGATTAATCGACTCGTATAGCGGGTTAGATATCAAGGTTAATAAAAAAAATAGTTTTATTTATATGTGTTGGGGTTCTTATAAATCTAAAAAATATGTAATGATAAAGAAAAAAGAGGTTGAAGATGAAGATGGTGAAATGACCAAAAAGCCCATCACGATTCACTTGTTCGGTCAAGTTAGGCTTAAAGTTAGACGGTGTTAGAAATAAGGATCAAATGGTTATAAGAATTTGTTTTGGGGTAAAAAGTGTAAGAAAAGAGAAGTTTAGGACAAATTTATAATTTAGTGAAAGAAGATATTTAGAAGGGAAATTATAGTGCGGACAATTGGCGAATGGAAAAAACCGCTACGAAAAGAGAAAGAAGAAGCAAGAAGCAGTTTGTTCTGTGTCTTCTCTTTTTTGTTTCACAAATCTCACTCCTTCCACAAAGTTTTCTTTTAGGGTTTCGATTTGATCGATTTCTCCGCAACAAAATTTCATTCTCAAATGGAGCACCAGCAACAGTTGGGGCACCATCGTTGATTCGATAGTCTGAAACGGAATAAGCAGCCTTTAAATGACGGAAGACGGATCGGAGAGGGGGAGTACAAGTAGGGGAAACGGCGGGTTTAGTTCCATGGATTCAATGGAATCTCATCGGTGGGTGTTTCAAGACGAAGAGGATTCGGAGATTGATCACGAGGACAAGTATGTGGGTGAAGATGATGATTTTACGTCGCAACATGACATAGATTCGGAGGATGAAGATAGTCTATACCATAAGTTGATTCGGACTGGGCCAAGGATTGATTCGTTTGGGGTCGAAGCTCTGGAGGTCCCTGGCGCACACAGGAGTGATTTCGAGGTACGTTGTGTCGATCTTCTGACAGTAAACAACCTAAAATACTACATTCTAACTCCCTGATGGATATAATTTCTTTCCATTTCGAAAACAATTGGGTAGCGACCTTAAACTAGATGTTAAATGCTCGTAATTGCAACCTTTTGGTACTATTTTTTTAAAGTTACATTTCACGGTTCGTGCAATCGTCCTCCTATTTATTATTTAACGTTGCGGAAATTCTGAATGGGGCTTGTGAAGAGCTTGAACCTCGAGACCAAATTCGGGAAACAAAATCTCAGTTTAGATTTAGCTTCCAGCAATTATTGGATATTTAGACACTTCACTATGTGGTTGCGACTATTTTCTCCATGTTCATCTTGGACTACCACAAGCTCTTTGAGATAAGGAATTAGTTGACTCAGGGCACTTGTTTTTCTCATCACCTTATGGATTAATGTGAAGGATTAGAAAGACAAGCTGATGTAAAATAAAGATATTGATTTATTTATATAATCAGCTTTGAGCTTTTGGATACTCGTTGAACTGTGATTGGTTCATGGGTTTTGTAGATAGAGTTTTTCCGTTGATTGGGGTTATCTTGGCTGAAAGTCCATCCTAGTTGGACTATGCTGTGACCAATTGACGTCAGCTGCCACAGACACTTGGGTCACAGCCTGCCTCAGGTTTGCATTTGGACCTATAACCAAAGGAATGGGACCTTATTACATCATATGGAGCTTTAAACTAATATCTCCTGGTCTCTCTATAAACATATAAGCAGGACATATAGACGATTAGACATATGGCAACCACCAAAGTCGCCATCTTTTTGTTCTCTCTAAAGACAGAGAATGTAATGATCATGAGTGAATGTGCATCAGCTCTTATGTCTGAAGAATGTAACTATGGTGAAGAGTTTGTTGGTCACTTTTGGTGGTTGTCGTTGAGTTGCCCCCTATTTAGATATACCATTGGTACATAAAACATAAATTGCAAATACAACAATTAGTAGCAGGCTAGCAGCTGCTGTTGATCTAGAAAGAGAATGTCTATATATGCTGACTTCAAAAAATGAAGCATTGAGATTTAGAGCATTGTGAGTGTTTTCTTTAGCAAGACATTTTTTAGAATGCTGAAAACTTGCCTCCCTTTCATTCTCCCTTCTTAGAAACTTCTTAGTTTCTCTGGATTGCCAATGAAGTTGGATTGGTAAAATCTTTAGTGTACTTGATTATTTAGGCCATTGCATTTATTTCTTCATGGTGAACCATTCTCTGCATTTAAATCATAGTCAGTTGGGTTATGCTTCAGCTCTTCGGTATTCAGTTGTTTGTTTTTTACTTTCTTAGGCTTGCCGTAGTCGTTTTTGGTTTTCACTAAGTTCTACTGTATGATATTTTTTTAATGTTGTATCGTATTATGTTGAGAGTTTGGTAGCAGGATCTCAAGGATTAGATTTTTGGGTCATGCTTTCTCAATATGTATCGATTTTAATTATAAAACATATAACTGTTCAAAAAAATAATGAACAACATATTCAACTAGTATATGTTATATACAACGTAGTACATGGGTAGCATTACAAAAATAAACACATTCTCTGAGCTTAGGTTCACGTCTTTTCTGTCCTTTTACTTATTGCCTCCATAATAGACCTATGCTATATATTGGTAACATAAAATTACCCAATAAAAAGTTGTCTGGCAACTTATGGTGATATGATATATAAAGAAGACCTTAAAGACAACCTACTCCATACTTTCGAAAGTGAATGAGAGTAGTTACTGGAGGAATATGTATTATATACAACAGTATTATACCAATTACGGGTGTAAATTGTTTTGTCCCATTCGGTTTTGCTCAAAACCACAAACTGAATCTCCCCTAATCGGTTCAAAGTTTTTCAAAAAGAACCGTGAAAATAAATTAAACCCAACCAATTTCTACTGATCAATTTCAATTACGTTTGGTTTGGTTCAAGGTTTAATGAAAGATTATCATCTTTTTGATACAATTTTTATATTTTTTGCTACCTAAAAAATAAAAATATCAACTTGTGCATTTGGTCTAGCAAAAATAGGTAACTAGCATGAGCCAAGTTCACTTTGTGCATAAAAAATGAAGTACCAAGTTTGGCCAAATATTAGTTGAAAAACCTACTATTTGTTATCGAGTTCCAACTGACCAAGTATCACTTGAAAACTAACTAGAAAACAACTCAACTACCAAATAGGTAAGTAGAGTCATTAGGTATTATTCAAATTGATGCTAAAAGTAGAAGGAATTTTTCTCATCATACCAATTTGATTCATATGAAGACTGTTCGATTGAAGGTTCAGATATCATAAGAATATGTGAGCAATAAATTCTTGAATCAATTTCTAAACCAATTTTGTTAATCATGAATCAAATTGTATGTGCAGTTTTCAACTTTTTGTAGTAGAATTTATATAATCTGTATAAATAAAATACATAAAAAGTAAGCTGTATAGTGATGTCTAAACAACACATAATTATTAGTCACTAGATCATTGTGTTGTCCCATTAGTCATTCGTTTTGACTTTCCCAGGTACCAACTAAAAGATCTTCTGGTCATGCAGCGAGAGTAATTGAGTAATATAGTTCACACAAGGCTGAGAAACAACTCAACTACTCAAGTAAGGCAGGCAATCTAGGGTAAAATCTACAGAATCAGATGATGCAATCGTAGTACAGTACTCAAGTAAGGCATGTATGTCAGTATGTGTGAACGCATTACTGTACATTACAAAGATATAAGAGAATACCAAATGGAAGAAGATGAGACGGTCAACTAACTATCGAGGATGTCTCTGTTGCCGTAAAAGATATAAGTTTGTTTTTAGCCGAATTTCTAATTGAAATTTATGACTTTTCATGTTTCATTTCTATTAGAAAAGACCAAAACTTTCCCTTCTGAATACATTCATGGTCAACAATTTGGTGATATGAAATAAAAGTTGGTCCGCACACATTGCTATCTCGTCCTGCCGCAAAAGTAGGCAGGCTGGGAGTCTAACTCCTATCTTGTGCCCAGAGAGGTGTCTTTTCTTGCTTATAGCTTAAAAATAAAATAAAACTGCCTTTTAGTTCAGGACCTTGCAGTGTTGAATCTGTTGCAAGCAAAAATCACTGTAATTAATTTTCCCATTAGAACTGCTTATATGTTACTCTTTGCTGGTTTGACTTGGTACTTCTATTTTTGGTCTTTCTGCTGGTAATTTATGTGCCGCTTCTACTTAAATGCTGTTTTAACCATATGTATGATGCAAAAATTTGAGCAGGAAATCAATAGTAATGCAATTTGAAAGTGGCAAAGGTGACAAAATGAAGCTAGCTGATCATCATTTGCAATCTAAATCTCAAACTGTACTTGCAGGATGGCAGTCTTGGGAAGAGTATTTTTCTGGTTTTTCAGACGCTCGGTGTTGTTTTTGGGGATGTTGGAACAAGTCCACTGTATACCTTCAGTGTGATGTTCAGCAGGGCTCCAATAGAGAGAAATGAAGATATTATTGGAGCTCTATCTCTTGTTTTGTATACCTTGATTTTGATCCCACTGATCAAGTACATCCTCATTGTTCTTCTAGCAAATGACGACGGGGAAGGTAAGTTTGACAAATATAGTTCCTATTCCGATTTAAATTTAATGCTCACAGGTCTCAATGAAAGGTCTTTGTCAAGTTGAATGTTTCTTTATGTTGCCGTCATATCTCGCATCTGTTGCAGGTGGTACCTTTGCTTTATACTCACTAATATGTAGGCATGCTAAGGTCAGTCTTCTCCCAAATCAGCTTGCTTCTGATACACGCATATCAAGCTTCAGATTGAAGGTGCCATCTGCAGAACTTGAGAGATCATTGAAAATAAAGGAGCATCTTGAAACTTCAGTGGCTCTCAAAAAGCTTCTTTTAGTGTTGGTGCTTGCTGGTACCTCCATGGTCATAGCTGATGGGGTTGTTACACCTGCAATGTCAGGTCTTTAACTATTTTAAACACTTCTCCTTTCTCACCTAAAGAGTTCAATTTTGAAAACCTTAAAAAAAGATCAAGGTCAAGTCATTCTTGTTGAGAAATGTTATCTATTTACGTGGAATTCACTTGTATTTCTCTCATGCAGTAATATCCGCTGTTCGTGGTTTAAAGGTTGGAGTTCCTACAGTTGAGCAAGGTGACATGATCCTACACGTAGTGCTTAAAGGGACGATAATATACAGCTAATTAAAAATGTGATTGCTTCTTTCTGTTTAATTTCTCATTAGGAGAGTAGTAGCAGAATACATAATTTATGCTTTTTCCTGTAATTTCTAACCGAGGCTAGCAACATATGCGACCCTTGGTTTGAAAATGCAACATGCTGTCTGAACCTTAGGCTGAAGCTGACCTCTTTCCTTGAATGTTCAACATGTGTTGATAGTTGTTTTGGCCTTTTGGAAGCAATCCAAACTTGCTGTACTAAGTTCTGGTGATTGCATGATGGTCCTTATCCGCCTCCATGCCATGATTGTTGTTATAACCTGCTTCTTGTCTTAACTGACTCTTTCTGTTTGGAGGAGCATCTGGAGATTTGCTTCACACAAGTCGACAATTAGTTGAGACACTTGTAAGAACTTCTATGTATTTTTCATCAAACAAAATGTCTCATCAGGAAATTCGAGATTGTGGTTATTACTTTTAGCTAAAAATTCATCAACTTCCATGCATACAAGTTCAGTGAGTAAAAAGATGATTATTGTTCTAGAGATGGTAGCGCTGAAGTTGTCTTTCTTCATGCTTGTTTTATATGCTCTGTCGAGTCTATAATCTAAAAATTTGAACTAGTTGATTGAAAGTCATGGCAGCACTGTTCACAAACCAGCCATTGGACGAATTGCAATTGTAACACAATGGGTGTAAAATTTCAGCATACGAACTTCAGAGACCATGGTTGTTTATCGGTTGAAACCTGACAGTCAAGCTTTAACAGTCTCTAGAATATTATTCACATGTGACATAAAGATAAACCATGACACCTTTGATGATATCATATTCTGCGTGTTTGGTAGGGTCTCCAATATTTAGATGCCTTGAGGAGTTACTGATTGTGGGTAGGCTCACTTGCACGTATGCTGGATAACAATTTAAGTTTTGCCCATGGCAGCAAATCTCTGCATATCATTGCTTTCTTGGGAAGTGATATAAGCATACGTCCTTGGGGATAAAAGTATTATGTTTAGAAGTTCGTATCATCCTTGACCACTATTTAGGTCCTCCTTACCTTTGGTGTTAGATTTTTTTTTTGGTAACAGCTTATTGTTATGAATGTTGGAGGGGATGCAATATCATATACCAGTCATGACTTGAACCATCTAGCTGAAATTTTTACTGTTGCTTGTGTTATACGTAAACTGGTCCTTGAAAATTCTGGTCTAGATTTTGTGCTAGTGTCTTTTCTGCTGATTTTTTCCTTCACTTCTGGAAAAAAGGTCACTTCATCCTTCTAACCAGTTTTGGTATTTTGTTTCTATCTATTGCAGATCATGTAGTGATGATTTCGGTTGCATATCTTATTGCTTTGTTCAGTGTACAAAAATATGGAACAAGTAAAGTTGGGCTTGTTATTGGACCAGCCTTATTTATATGGTTTTGCTCTCTTGGAGGCATTGGCATCTACAATCTTGTGAAACATGACAGCAGTGTTGTGAAGGCATTTAATCCTGTTCACATCTTTTACTATTTCAAGAACTCATCTAAAGCTTGGTACGCCTTGGGTGGATGCCTTCTATGTGCAACTGGTAAATGCTTATGCAGATTTGGGACCTTAGCTTTTGATATTTCTGCATTCTAGACACAATGTTCTTAACACATCCAGATTTTCCTCAAAATAGATAAGATCAGTTTTGTCCCTCAAACCCCAAACAGTATCATTTGTCTACAGTGAATAAAACCTTATACATGGAGCATATGCTTAGAATAACATGTATGGATTTTTAGCTTGTTCATTCATTTTTTCCTTTTCCAATGTCCTTTATTCTCTTAACAATTTGTCAAATCAATTTTTCTAAATCGCATTTTCACCCAAACCTGACTCTTTGGACCACATCATGGATAAGGACACACTAATAGTAGTGCTAAAATCCCAAGGATGTGGTCAGGAGTGACCAACTGGATCAACCAGGTGAATGGTCTATAGAGCCCCTTCTCCCTGCCAATAAGTTGATTAATGTACAAACTTTGCTAAGCAACCAGAAAGTATCAATGCTAGTTATACATGGTTTGAGCTGATTCTATGTTGCTAGCATTGCTTTTGCTTAAAAGTTGATTTCCCCCTTTACAAACACCAGAGCATCTTGTAACTACTCATTTTGTTCTACATGGTTTCATTATTTTGTTTCCTGATGTAATCTAGGTTCAGAAGCAATGTTTGCAGATCTTTGCTATTTTCCAGTGAGAACAATCCAGGTAAGGCACTAAACTGCTAACATATTGCAATTGTTAAGACAGCAATACTGTAAGCGATAGTCGTGAGATGCCAATCCGACTGATCTTCTGTTGCTGTCATGTGATGCTGTGTATTTACTTATTTCTTTCAGTTAATGTTGTGCAGCTTACTTTTGTTTTCCTTGTACTTCCATGCCTTATGTTGGGTTACCTGGGTCAAGCTGCATACCTCATGGATAATGCTGGTGACCCACAACAGGCTTTCTTTTCTTCCATTCCTGGTGAGCCTCCTCTGTGACTTGCAGCCTTGATTACAGATCAACCTTTTTTCCAGATTGTGGACCCATTGATCGTTATTGTGGAAACGCTGTATTCCAATATTAGCATGCAAGTGCCGTCGATGTACCTGCATCTGTATCTGTATGTCTACGTCTATGGCTTATGGTTTTCTATTTTTTATGCTCTCTCTGCAGATGGTGCTTTTTGGCCAGTCTTTCTCATTGCTAATATTGCTGCATTGATTGCTAGTAGAACAATGACAACGGCAACTTTCTCTTGTATCAAACAGTCAACAGCACTCGGTTGCTTTCCTCGTCTTAAAATTGTGCATACATCTCGCAAATTCATGGGTCAGATTTACATTCCTGCTATTAATTGGTTTCTGCTGGCCTCTGCTCTGCTGCTTGTCTGCTCCATTGCAAGCACCAACGAGATAGGGAATGCATATGGTACTCCTTTTAAACTTATCCTTCAATATATAAGGTCTAGTTGGTATGCTAACTGTTTGTCCATTAAATGGGTTATGTTTATTTCCTTGTTCCAGTGAAATCGATTTCAGTTCCTTATAGAAAGAACTTCTCAAAGGATCTTAAGCAACATGTTAAGCATGGATCACAAATAAGTGTTGACATGCATGCTTTTCCTATTCAATACTTATGCCAAAGTCAACATTTAATATTCCATGGTGTGCACTGAAATACCTGATGGCTTTGTTTGATTTCTGGATAGAGGGCCTAACTGGGTGAGACATTAGCCTGTGAACATGGGCACATAAGAGGCATTTGTCATAGAACTATCACCTCATTTTCTTCTTGATTTTCATATTAACTTTACATTACTGTGAGCATCAGAGACATAACTCTTATTTCACTAAAGGGTGACTTAATGGGCTGTATAGCCTATATGGCTTATTTGCTCAACCATAAATAGCCGTTCGGTTGTGGCTTATTCGGTCAGCCCATGACTTAATCGCTCAGCTGGTAATGAATACTCCTCTAGACTCGGCCATTTAATTTCCATTAATCCCGCAACTACCCTTTAATAAATAAACCCTATTTCTAAGACACGTTTCCAGGGCTGTTCTTCAAGCTTCCAGGTTCATTGAAAGGAATGACAAAATCAAATAAACAGAAACATAGGAAATTCAAGGGAGAAGATGATGTAATTTTCATTCAAAAGGATTAAAGCAATCAAAGGATCGTCCAGGGAAGATCCCTCTCTCAAAGCTATGAGCTAAGAGCCATTACAATGGAGAAGAAAATAACAGAACATGCACAAACGTCACTCCCCTCCTCTATTTATTAATCTCTCTCCTCTAACCAACTTCTAGCCACTTTCCTAATTTGCCCCTCTGCTCCTTCTAGAATAAACATACATTATCCTAGGCTTAGTGACTTTTGGTAATAATAGATCCTCATTCGTATCATTCATCTTCAATCTCTGCGTCTCCGGACTCTCCATCTTTAGGTATACCGATTTCTCCCTTTGTTCAAATTCACAAAGGTAAGCACGAAGGAAGATCGTGAAGGGGACATCGAAGAGGGAGTTTTGTACCCTGGGATCAGCCATGGAGAGAACCAGCTTCGGGACCTCTTTCCAAAACCCTAAACCCCAAATTTCATTACAACCTACGCCTTTCTCTCGCAAGAAGCTCAATTAGCCAAGGAACCACCATCGCGGCCGGTTTCTACCACTCCACTACCACCTAACCCTGCTACCGGAATCCCATTCTACAATGAGAACTGGCGAAGCCCTATTCTGAACCTGTCCTCTCAATTCTCCCCTTCTCTTACCCCCTAGAGTTTCCGCAACAACATCCGTCCTCTCGTATTGAGGCTTTTTCGCAAACCCTAGACAGTGACGGGATCGTGAACTTGTTTGCAGATTGGATGACGTCACAAAAGTGGTCAGATATAAAGCAGTGATCAGATTGAATTTTGGGTTTTAGGTGTTATTAATTTCTCTATCTTGTTACTGATTTGTTATTGTAGATTTGGGCATGTTTTCTAATTTGGGGTTTCATTTAGTGATTTGTTTACAGTTTTATGGTTTGATCTATAAATATTGTTGTTTTGAGAAATGTGATCTATAATGTTTAATGTAAAACCAAGGGTAAAATAGTCGTTTTCATCATTCAGATGGTTTATACAGCACAACAACCAAACAACAACTTATCTATTAACATACAGACAACTTTGTCAATATAGACAGCTTTATCCATACAGGTCGTAGCACAAAATGAACCGAACAGTCCCTAGTGCACCAAGGCTCCTCGGCTTCGTGAGGGAAGTCTTTGTACCCAAGGTTTTTCCTGCTCCAGGGCTCACTCCTCAACTATAGTACTTGTTTAGTTAAGAATTAAATAAAGGGTTGCAGGATCTACCAATAGGAGGTACATGGTGGTTGGATTATCAGCTCGAACGTGTGAATTAAGCGTTGCTTCCTGATGGCTTCTTTTGATTTCTGGATAGAGGGCCTAACTGGGTGAGACATTAACCTGTGAACGTGGGCACATAAGAGAGAGGCATTTGTCATTGAGCTATCACCTCATTTTCCTCTTGAGTTACATAACTTTACATTAATGTGAGCATCAGAGAGCAAAACTCTTATTTCACTAAAGGGTGACACTTAGTGCACCAAGCCTCCTTGGCTTCGTGAGGGAAGTCTTTATACCCAAGGTTTTTCCTGCTCCAAGGTTCACCCCTCAATTATAGTACTTGTTTAGTTAAGAGAATTAAATAAAGGGTTGCAGGATCTACCAATAGGAGGTTATCAATACATGGTGGTCGGATTATCAGCTCGAACGTGTGAATTAAGCGTTGCTTCCTTTTCTTGTGGCAGGAACTTTTAATGGTTCTTTTTCTGTCAAAGCATGTTTTGAAAGTGTGAACAAAAGTGTAGCTTGTGCCTATGTATCACATTCCATTAAAATATATAGGATTTCACATCCGAAACATTCATGGGCATGGGAAGTCATGCAAGTGATGGCCTCTAAGGGGTCGTTTACCAAACGCTTATCGGGTAAGCTCTTACTGGGTCCCTTACCTTACCACATGAGCGTGTGAAGGACCGAGAGAATCTTACCCGGTAAGAGGCATGACAACAAGCCAAGGTTCCTACCCAGCAAGTGAGGGAGAAGACTCTTAGCCGGTTGGTACTTACCGAGTAAGAAACGCTTTCAAACAGTCCATTTTGATGGCCGAGAATGTTACTCGGCAAGGTAAGTGAGAGGTGGCGACTATTGCCGGTAAGCATTTGGTGAACGGCCCCCAAGTCTAAATCAACTAGATATGAATAGATTTTTCCACTTCCTGAATAAATCTGTACCTTGCTTTCAAAAGTAAGATGTACCAAGTTGGCCTCCTGTGATCTAATGTAGATCTGTATTACAAATACAGGTGTTGCTGAGCTTGGAGTGATGATGATGACTACTGTCTTAGTAACCCTAGTAATGCTTCTTATATGGCAGATCAACATAATCATTGTGGTCCTATTCTCTTTAATTTTTCTTGGGTTGGAGTTGGTATTCTTTTCATCCGTCTTGAGTGGTATCGGAGATGGAAGTTGGATCATATTGGTGTTTGCAATAGTTATCTTTCTTATAATGTGCATCTGGAACTATGGTAGCAAGCTCAAGTATGAAACAGAAGTCAAGAAAAAGATGTCAATGGATGTATTGCGTCAATTGGGCTGCAACCTTGGAACTGTGAGAGCTCCTGGCATTGGCTTGCTTTACAATGAACTGGTGAAAGGCGTGCCCGCAATATTTGGACATTTCCTGACGACTCTTCCAGCTGTTCATTCAATGATTATTTTTGTGTGCATAAAGTACGTCCCTGTTCCTGTTGTGCCTCAGCATGAGAGATTCTTGTTCAGGCGAGTCTGCTCTAAAAGTTACCACATATTCCGTTGCATCGCCAGGTAAATACCTTTCTCATGATTTTTCTTGCATGCAGTACATCTATGCTCTTTTTGTTCTCTTTGAAAATCCCACCACAAGTTTTTTTTTCTGCATGTTTCTAGTTAGTGATAAGCTCAGGCATAATCAAATGCCCTTTTACCCTGTATGATTTCACCATTACAGTTTGGGATGTCATGAATGTATGTTCATGGCCAAGTGACCTTTGGCCCAATGGTTCCAATCAAGTATCTAGAACCTTTAGATTGTGGGTTTGAATCTCTAAGAGACATGGGTATGTGAGTTCGTTTCCTATTCTGATAAATAAATAAATGCATCATGCTATTCTCCAATACGAATTATTTACCACACAAGTCAAAAAGTTACTCTGGTACTCTTTCCAGCCTTCCATCTCTATGAAATCCGTTAACGAGAAATATAGGAAGTAAAAGATGGGCTCAGTATCAAGAATATTCTAATGATTAATGACAATAGATGCATTGATTGGTGGATTTTCATGGTTTTTGGCCTTTGAGAATTTCATATATAGATTTTCACAACCTTATTTATTACATCATCTCCTTGATTTTCATCCAATTACTTGACATAAATGGTTACTAAAAGCTTAATAAGATTTACATCTTTTTTCCTTCTTCCTCTCGACCCAATTCCAAAATTAACCATTTATGTTGGCCAAGAATCAAAGTACATGTTGATGAACTTTCAGTTGAGGTATGAAATTAAAAAAGAAAATCATGGAGGTCCACTAATCATTTTATCTATTTTTTTTGCCAATCATTACTTTGAAGTTCTATCAAGAAGTCAGAATGCACATTTTTAGGGACCAACATAATGGCCTAGTGGGGGTCTTCATGGAAACAGTCGTTCTACTCTTTGGAGTAGAGGCTTGGGTCTGCATATAACCCACCTCCAAGTGGGATACATTTGGTCAGTTTGATCTGGTTTGGTTTTTAATGGTCTGGTGTTTGATCTGGTTTGGTTTTTAATGGTCTGGTGGGAAGGCGTCTCTCATAATTATAACTGTTTTAATGGAGAGAGCATGGTCTTTGGCAGGTATGGTTACAAAGATGTTCGTAAAGAGAACCAGCAGATATTTGAGCAGCTACTCATCGAAAGCCTTGAGAAGTTCATTCGGCGTGAAGCCCAGGAGAGATCATTAGAGAGTGATGGGGATGAAGATACTGAAGATGAAGAGGAGCCCACAAAAATTCTCATTGGTCCAAATGGCAGCGTCTACTTTGGCGTCCCTGATGGCAGAAACAACCAGCCGATAATCTCAGAAGCAACCACTTCATCTTCATACGAGCCTGAAAAGAACTCCTCAGATCCAGAGCAGAGTCTGGAGAACGAACTCGCTTTCTTACACAAGGCCAAGGAGTCCGGGGTGGTTTATCTTCTGGGACATGGAGACATAAGGGCGAAAAAGGAGTCGTGGTTCATCAAGAAATTGATCATAAATTACTTTTATGCTTTCATGAGGAAGAACTGCAGGAGGGGGATTGCAACATTGAGTGTGCCTCACACACACTTGATTCAGGTAGCCATGACTTACATGGTTTGATTTGAGTTTGGTTTATGATGAGATTAGTTGATCCAGAAATAAGGTTTTTATTATGGTGACTGCTGCACAGCACATGCTCTTAGACTTATTAATTGTTGTTGTTGGCACATTTGTTTGTGCCGATTTTGATATCTTTGATTGCCCATCTTTCGAATCGAGTTGTAGTTAAAATGTCCTTCGAGTTGTAGTTACTTCTAGTGGATGCATGGGCATACGATACATTTATCATTATTATTATTATTCGAATTCTGAATTTGATGGTAGATGCTCATCCGTCACTTCTGCATGCTATTTCTTCTCGGCTTATTGAATCGATTATAAGCTTGGATTCCATAATGGTTTTAAATTGAACTACAAGGTGAGCAATACCTATTTAAACATGATGACCTAATGGTTTAAACAAACACTCACTTGGTGATCCTATGGAGAGCCTAATGAGTTGTGATGCCCGTGAATGTTAAAGCTTGACTTACCCACACTTTTATGAAGTAACATTTGGTTAGATATTTACCAACTATTCTCGTGTATTTAAAGACCACAAGGGCTGCAGCATCAGAGTGTAACAGTGGAAGGGGTTTTGTGTTCATTAACCAATGCACAAGTAACTCAGCCTTATCTACCACCATTGAACAATTAAAATGTACAAAATAGCAAAATATCCATGTCTGTTCTCTCTCTCTCTCTCTCCAGTGGCACTATAAGAGTTTGTGATTTGTTTCCCGACTAGCGACTGCCATGAACTAACCGAGGGTTTTGGGTGCTTCAATGTCTTCTTGGACTACATATGACGATGGTGCTTGGTTAATTTTCTTCTGTCGTGATGTAAATCTGAATCTTAGAAGCAATGAATTAGTCATCACACCAATAGAGCTCAAACCCATGAGGGCTCCGGCAATTGAGGGAGTAAGCATTATCCCTGTAACTGGCAACAAAGTCCCTGCAGCTATCGGGATCCCAACCTGCAAGTTCATAATCATATTAGTCAGATTAACCAAATGAAATCAAACAAACCCAAAGTAGATTTCGGAGGGAGTAGTGAGATGCATATAGACCTGCCATCTACCCCAAAGGGTAGAAGGGGTTGTGCAAAAGTGTAAGTGAAAAGAAAAGAATAACCACGACTAGTAAGTAGTAAAAAGACCTATCTGTCGGCTTTATAATGGGGAATTCACCAAAAGGCCTGTGCAAGTGAAAGGGGAGCAACCACAAAAGTGGAACTTGGCAGCCTGTCTGAGGGTAAAATGCAACCATGTTTGATTGGTTGATCATTTAACAGGGACAGATTTTTGGATACGAAGAAGTTTGTGCCAAAAATGTGTAAATTTGAAAGCAAATTGATGCATCAAATGGGGTATTTTTATCCGTCGATATATACATCACATGTGAATGTTTGCATATCTTTTACCTCAGAGACCCTACCCTAGTAGCAGTATATTGTGCCCCTCAAAACTTTTGCATTTTTATATTAGTTTAAACTAGACCCGAATCTTTAACACTTTTAGGAACATAAATTCATCAAAAACCGTTGGAAGACAATGTGGTTCTCACTTGAAAAGATCTCAACTGAACCTACTGCAAATACCTTTTTTTCAATGTCAATAGAGTGCAATAACTTACAATGTTGTACCCAAAAGCCCACCAGAGATTTTGCTTCACAGTCGTCATCGTCTGTCTGCTAAGCTCCAACGCATCAATTAGCTGCAAAGAAGGGATTTATGTTGCTCAATATGCTACACTCTGTTTGGTCAAACCAACCGTGACTGAAATCTAAAATGCATTCAATGTCTTCATGAAACGTATCTCTTTAATTACGCAGTTGAAAAGAGTGAGGGTCTGTACCTGTGAAATTTTGTTACGCATAAGTACAATAGAGGCAACTTCGCTAGCAGCTCCAACGCCTCCACCTATAGCAATCCCTACATGTGATGAGGCCAGGGCGGCAGCATCATTAATTCCATCCCCAACCATAGCAACAACATGCTGATCCTTCTGAAGTCTGCTTATGAATTTACTTTTCTCATCAGGTTTGACTCCATAGAATACCTGCCACTTGCCAATTTCAGGTTCTCACGAACAGGTATAATATGAAGATAACAGAACTTTCAAACTAAAATCCATGTGTTTTATACTACATATAAATCGAGATAACAGATTTGCAGTTCCTATGAATTAGTCGTCACTGACAGCCCTTGATGGGATTCTAATGCTCATGGATGGCCTCACTAATCCACTTCACACAACTGAATCGCCAGTTGGAATGTGAATAGAAGATTTGGATACTGTTGTACATTCCCATTCACATCGGTTTTTGCATTTAAAGATTTATGCTTTAAGATGTGACATTATCATGAGGTTCCTGCACTGAAAGGTGAAAACTTGCTTGACTATGACTAAGAAGATAGAAAGGGCTTTTCTCGCTTAGTGTTGCTTTGGCTGAGTCCTATCTTGCTGGCGCGGAAGCTACCACAACTCAAAGAGAAAATGAATTAAGGAATAAGACGTTAGCATTAGAAAGAGTACAGAGGCATGAAAGAGTACAGAGGCATTCGGGGCCGACTACAATAAAACAGCCAAGGCATAATACAGCAATTGCTTAATCAGCTACTCTAATTGTAAACCACATTTATTCCAAAAATACTCTGAGAGACTGGATATAAGAAAATTCATGCATTGGTCATGAAAGAGTTTTGCCAGAAGAGAAACACTTTGGTAAGCTGATTTTAGTATTAGCGGGAAAGCTTTGATGGCTAGTAGGAAATGTAGCATATAGAATTTAGATTAGATTCCGACTAGAGCAGTCTGTCATAACCAATATTGCTTAGTTGCGAGGAAGCCTATATATGGGCTTATAGAAGTGCAACGTATATCCTAGAAGAGTTGCTTTCAAAAAATCAACACACTACAGAAACTTTCAAGCAGAATATGATTGTGCTGCAAATGAAAACAAAATCAAAACATTTCCAGATGGACAGCTAGTAGGTGCACTTAATGATTTAACTCAGAGGCACATTCCTCTTTTGCTAGTAGGTCATTCTCATAAATTTCATCATGTAGACCAAAAATGGAAGGTAATGACTGTATTTTGACACAAAACCATACTAGAATAAAATCCTTATACCTGTTCCTTTGGAATACCAACAACGGACGCAACATACTCAGCTGAACTCTTTTTATCCCCCGAAAGCAAGTACACACTTATTCCTTGACTAGTTAAAGATTGAACAACATGTGCAGCATCTTCTCTTATCTGATCTTCAACATATATAAGACCTGCAAGCACACCATCTATCCCCACATACACGACTGATTGATTTTTGAACTCTTCGGTTTCTATAAATGGATTCTCAACAACTCCATGCCTGCACTAGTAGTGATAATTAATATTACAATTGGGCATTGAAGACTACATTACAATGCAAGTGTAAAAATATCGGAACTACCAATGGCCACTCATAAGTAATAGAAGAGCAAACAAAATGATAAAAACAGTAAAATTAAAGCTTAATGGTAATAAAAGCCTACAACATTAGTATGAATTTTCTGATAAACAACCAGATGAAGAAGCTACTGTAAAGAAGAGATTGACACTAGATGGTCCTATACGAACTTCAAAACACATGGGATGAATTCCCCCACCCCACCGCCACAGTGCCCTCCAGGTTGTCTTTTAACATATATATATCTTGGAATAGATGACTCAACAAACATAATAGTTAAGCTATTAAGAAAATTTTGTTCCCATCAAAATTCATCACAAAGCAAAACTTCATGCCATTTCAGAATCATAGCAGAGTGGTTGCAAACTAAGTACCTTCTAACCCATTCCAGTGAACCAACAGAAACCGTCTTCTTCCCAATTGAGGCTACTGCACCTGATCCAGGTTCCTCCATAAATGTTCCATCATCGGCCTGCATAACAAATATTCACATGTAAAGTCAATCACATTAACTCCATAACCGCCAACTTACGTGTGAAATTGGTGACATGAGAAAAGCAACAGCAGTCTCTTCAACATATCAACTGCAGTGAAGTATATAAACACAGTCCAAAATCTGAGTATCATAACTAGCCATCTTAACAAAGTAGTCCAACTCAAGAATTACAAGTCACGGACAATGTCCAAATGATAAGTATGCGTAACATTTCTTCAAGAAATTCTAAGAACCAAGTTACACACTCAACATCTGATGGAGTCAGAAAGAGGAACTTCTTACTAAAAAAATATAGATCATATTGCAAAAAATTAATCTGGTTGTAAATATTAAAGCAAAAGGTAACAAAAAATCTAATAAAAGAACAGGATAAAAGTTTAAATAAATAATTAAAAAGACAGTGTTCATTAGAGGGAATAACACTCCTTGGGTCTAGGAGAACTTTCGGCCGAATTGCAAATAGCCCTATAAACTTTTTTTGGACAAAGAATAGGCCTATAAACTTCACTTTTGGTGAAACAGCTAATGAATCTCAAGATAAGTTGGATTAGGCTAAGCCTCTCAACATTGCACACACACAAACACACACATAGATTTATATTTCATTCTAAAATTTCAAGACCTCCATGGCAACACAACTCATTTATGCAGAAGAGAATAAAATCTCATATTTCCTTCAAACCCAAAACCTAAAGCCAACATCAAATAACAAGCAAAGGAATATTCTATAATACAAAAAGAAGATGCATATTGACGTCTTTACATGAGTAAGTTTACAAACTATTACAATTAAATTGGATTTTTCCATATGAACAGAATATCAAATCAATAGGCAGTAGAAAGAGAGACTTGTAACAAATGCAACTATCATGTGGCTAATTTACTTATACACACACACACACACACACACACACATATATATATATATATGGAGAGATAGAGAGAGGAGAGATCTTTTACAAACTCAACCACTAGTACAAACCAATTAATTGAGATATTTATAGAAATTATGAGAGTTCATTTATTATGATTCGGATGTTTTATATTAGGAAACAATCGATCTATTCATTGAATCAGATGCTTATTAGACTAGATGAACGGTGGAGATTCGTTTGTATGGTTTGTACTAATGGTTGGGTTTGTAAATGAAACAATTTCATTAAATTAAACAATGAAATCGACGGTTTGTACAAATGGTTTGGTTTGCATTTGATCCCTCCCCTATATATATATATATATATATATATATATAATAGAGAGAGAGGGGTGCAGGGAAATCCCCAAAAAATGAAAAACTAAGGAACACCCTAATAACCATTCATATGTACGGTATGCACATGTACATACAAATAATGAAAGATGTTTCCTAGTTCCTATGCACGTTTGCATACCAAACAATACCAGACAAATTACGTTTATGCACATGTGCACATCATACAAATGAATGGTTATTAGGGTGTTAGTTTTTTTTATTTAATTTGCGGTTTGAAGTGATTTTATAGTGTGTATTCATTGATAAATAGTATACACTTTAAATTTCATCAAAATATGTATACTATCAATTAGTACATTAATCAATGAATATATACTATATATTCATTTGTATTTGTATCATGTCAATGAATATATTCAACAATGAATACACACTAAAAAATTAGTTCACTGGTTCTTATAATAGTTAAGGTTCTCATTGAACCACGCTATATATACCAGGGCAGGGGGGGTTCAAATAAGAAGGCTATATATCATGAGAAGGTAAGAAGCAAAAGTTCATATGTAAATCACTGAAAAAATCCGGAAAATCTATTTGAAAATGCATATGTGAACCGACGTTATAGATTTTTCATATGGGTTCACCTATGGATCTGCAAATGAATTTTTTCAATGATCTTAACCTTCCCTTCTGACCTTCTCACGATATTTTTCTTTCTAACTTGAACCTCCCACTATATATGTTTCTCATTCTGACTATGCGACAAATTGGAGACAGCCATAGGAGGAGAGGAGAGAAGGGTAGCAGCAGATGGGCCCAACTCTAGTTAGATCCAGGTCCAATAATCACATCCAAATCTATTGATTGATTCTTTTTGTTCACAAACCAATGATAAGTTTCTGAAACATTGGTTTATCCAGATCATAAATTGGTGCTTACTAATTGATCACCCTAAGAGGTTTCAAAAACAGCAATAGCAGAAGCAGCAATATGTTTTTTCTTGACTTCTAGGGTTTGTAAAAGTGTTCTGTTGATGGAAGTGGTGGTGGAGTAAAGAGATTTCTATAAAAGGGCGAAGTCACAAGGAATGTTTCATTGAGGCCAAATGGGGAGACCAAATAAAAGGTCACCGAAGTGGGCCAGTTGTTGCTGATTTAAAAGTTTATAGGCATTTTTACCATTTTTTATCTGTATAGGCCCACCTCATTTTCTCATCAATGTTCACAAATCCCATATAGCGTTATTTCGGTACATCGGTCATGCATACAATGAACTCGAAGCCAACTTTACAAGCAGTTCCCTCTACTAAATAGATCAAGTATGCACTAATATAACATGCTCTGCTAGTAGGAGAGCAGGGAATAAATGGACATTTTATCTAAAATAGTGAGCATGTAAGAAATGCTGATATAGTACATACTGTCAAGTTATGAGATGTCAGGTCATATAAATACAACTTGAAGCATATCACACATGTACCATATTTATATACTTGAATTATAAGATCCTTCCAAGAAATTCTAGGAACTTGGTTCAGAAAAAAGATATCTGCATATGCCATAGAGAAGGTAGTTACTTAATGACCACACTGGCCAGCAGGCAATGGAATGTACCTTTACATTAGGACATTTAGCACCCCGAGCAGCTTCCAGTATAGCTTTCCCAATTGGATGAATTGTATTAGATTCAACTGCAGCAGCTAACTTCAATACATCAATTTCAGACCATTCATCAATGGAATTTAGCCTGCATCAGTCATTACCCAATTTCAGACAACTTCAATCATGTGTGAGGCACTCAGGCATCCCACATGCATTGGCCTCAGCACCCAAAGTATGACTCCGCACACTAGATTTTGGTAGACCTAACTTATATGACATTTTACAGCTTAATTTACCTAAACTACAATCTAATTTGAAAACAGAAGCTATGATCAAAAACTCAACTGTAACTCGGGATATTCATCAGATGTTTTAGTCACTATTTTCGTGACAACGGGCTTGCCAATGGTCAATGTCCCTGTTTTGTCAAAAACAATTGTGTTCACTGCAGAGAACTTCTCTAAGATACTTCCACCACGCAAAAGCAATCCTTTTGTAGCACCAAGCGAAGTCCCGACCTAGAAAATTAGCAGGATCAAGTAAGATCAGACCATACCATCACAGATTTATTCAAGACGTGGTAGTTGGGCATCAGTCCTATTTTAGCAGGAAAATCTCATTAATTTGTTCTCACTCACAGACACATACACACGGTACGCGGGCATCTATTTCAGCAGCACATGATACCCATGTTTTCACTGATATATAAATTACTTCATATAAATATCTTGGGTACAAGACTTTACCAGCACAGCAGTTGGTGTGGCTAAACCCAATGCACATGGACAAGCAACAACCTGCAGTCACAGAACAGAAGTTCAATTTACATCAAATCATTAACAAAATAAAATGAAGCAAAGTTGGTAACCAATAAAAACCTGAAGAAAACAGATTAATATTACATGCATTCTTAATCCAGTATACCATAATTCAGTCCAGGATCTTAGAATTTTGAACACAGGGATAACCTAGTCCTAACTCTTCATTTGCTGTTTTAGGGAGGGGTGCCGATTGAACCTGAAGCTTTGTGGAATTTCAGTACTGTTTGTCAATTCCAAGAACATAACATTCCTTTGTCTCTTTGAATCTTGATAAAACAAGTACTTTGATAATCATAGAGATACAGAAATACAATATCACTCTTATCATCAGGAGAAACCCCAGATGTATATAAATCAAGGTAATTGGATAATAGCCGACAGAAAATAATCAACAGATAGATTACTATGTGGGCTTCCTAAGAGGCTTCATCACAATGTCACAAGTGTGGTTTCTTCCTATACATGGAGGTGCTATAGTTATACAACATCTTGATCGTGCACGACTAGATGACAATCTACCTCTAATCTACCTCTATGTCATTCATGCTCTTGTGGAAAACCTGGTTTAACTTAAGCTTTTGTCCCATCACTGATAACCAAGGCATATATGATTACCAGCTGGCAGCTGCTCATGTTTTTCATTCACAGCCTCTCCTGCTTGCGTATACTTGACAGACCACAAATATGTTACATTCGTGGATTTGGTAATCTTGCAACACCAGAGTCTTCATTAACCAATATGATAAAATATCCCAAAAAAATAGCACAGAATGCAGTGCTAACTCTTTGTAACAGAAGTAAATCAAAGTTTAGCGAAGGAATAGGTGTAATACCAAAACACTACAAGAGAGCTGCAATGCCAATGACACTGCACTTCCATGGTGAAGAGTGGCTGGTAGAATACGTGCACCAAAAATGCTCCAGAACGTAAATGTGGCGGCAGAGATTGCCATTACACCATAAGTGAAGTGTCCAGCAACCTAGTAAAGCAAGATGCAACATTGTAAGGCAAGCAGGATCAAACAATTTAACATTGATAAACGAAAAGCTTCAAGTGTGCAGCCTATCGTCCATCAGGAATTACACATTCAGGTGTCCCTTATCCAGTAGGTGCATGTTGATTTCACAACATACAATAAGAATATCAGAAAGTATATCTCCCTATAGATGTTCCTCTATAGTGAATAACAATGATAACATATCTGCTGGAAGTAAATCTTAACCCTCCCCTGGTCATCTGCCACATGATTGTATGATAACCCCCCCAGGAAAAACTTTCAAGTGTATTTCCTAATTCTTGCTTTGACCACAAGTCTTGAAAATAGAAGAAACATGAATTGGCCTGTTGCCTGGTTATTAAACATTGTTTCAGCAGCAGTAATATGAAAAGGAAAAAGTAATAATTAAGATATTAATGGTAGTACAGTAGAAAGTAAGAACTGTATTTAAATCACTGATGGAAGCATATAAACATTACGAAACCACAGAAAAGAAGTTGTAATTGTTGTTTACAAAGAAACAAATCATTTGGCTTTTTCTGTTGGGACATTCTAGCGATCATGTGACTCATTCAACTCGGATGAAATCATAGAAAGAGCCAAAAAAAAGCTGCATTAACAAGAAATATACTTCAGAAGGCTATCAGAATGATAACAAACCAGAAAAACCACCCTCGATATTCCCTTCCAACTCCCTTGTACAGAGGGACTGTACAGTGAGATTCTTGAACAGCAATAAATTTCAATACAATCAATTTTAGAAAGGAAAATACATATCTTCAACTAACCCATCCTCCGTCAAATAGTGAAATGTTGCAATTGCTTCAATGGGATAGAAAAGAACTGGCTAATATGGATTAGAACTAGACTAGTAAGAGACTCCAATGTGCTATGCTTGTCAAGAGAGCAAGTGATTTTGAGGGAAAGAGGAACGGAGTTGTGTCAACTGTCAAATCTGAAAACTAGCACAAGCCTCCACTTGTCTCCATACCTATTACATTGTCAAAGTTTGTGCATGAGGAGGACCTAAGTGAGCATTCTCCCAAAGGCATAAGCTACAATAAAAGGCCACAATAATGACAATCCTTTTAATGAATGATTTAACCTTCCAATATGCCCTAGCAGATGGGCTTTCTTCCCATACCTTGCAGATTACCAACTTGGTCATGAATCATAATTCATCTGATCCCTCCACTCTTCCCAGGGTTTCGACTGTTAAATAGAACAAGATAACTACAGTGCACAACTTATCTATTTAAACAGTGAATCCCTACTCTTCGCACCATTAACCATGATAAAGTACTTTTCTTTCATATCATGAATCATGCTGTTTAAATACGATGTTTTTCCTTTTACACAAGGAAGTTTCAGGTCAATAATCAGTTGCTTTGACCTCAGCAAAAACTCTTCAAACAAGATCTGCATGTTTGACCTGTAGCTCAGCCCAAATCAAGATTCAGGTTAAGCATTCAACACAAAGTTCCATCCTAGAATCTTGATAATTTACACCACTGTGTTTGTGAAGTATATAGCCTGTTGCTGCTGTCTTTTTTTTTTTTTAATTTCAAAAAATCTCATAGCAACAACTACTCGAGATGGTTTCTTTCTTCCTTCTTTTTAAACAATTAATATTCCATTCTGATTATTTTTCTTGCTACCATTCAAAACTTACAGATACTCCCTTACCTCTCTGAACAGAGGCAGTAAATTTTGTATAGACAATTCACTAGACCACCCTAAAAGAATCTCTACATCTCAGATCTTAACTGGGATAACCTTTTTAATTTCATTTCTCTGATGGTGATTATCAACTTCTAAATCATATTTGCAGCTAAAGGTCAAGTACCACATGCAAACTTTGACAATGCAACATTTTAGGATCATCAGAGAGTTGCAATGCAATAAGAAGATTATAGATGGACCAAAAAATAACTCATAACTTATTGTATATATGCCAAGATTGCATTATTAAAGATAAAGTATAAATGAAATTATAATATGCACACAGCTATGATGTAACTTCATTACCTAAATCTTAATCTTTATCACAGAATTTACAACAAGATAAGGATATAGCACCTTATCAGCCAAACGCTGAACAGGAGCTTCTCTACTCTGAGCTTCTTCAACCAAACGGACAATGTCCCCCATGAAGGTCTCACCTCCAGGCCTTTGTACTTCAACGGTAAGTGCTCCATTAAGGTTGATACTTCCTGCTGACACTTCAGCCTAGAACACAAGCAATTCACGATTAAATCCAAGAAGCATGCTTAATTGATAAATATACCCGACCACAATCTAACTGCCTCACCTTGGTTGGCATGTATAAGCTATCATGGTTGAACACCATATAGCAACAAGTTACAAACACTATCTTGCACTTTGGAAAGGAAAAATAATCAACTCCATTCCAGTAAACAGTAGATACCACTGAGCATTAGAGGTACTAGCGAAGGGCAGAAGGCATAAGAGTATGCATTTCCCTTTCGTTAGTTGCTCTGGGTTTGGGGAGTAATTCTAAATTGGAAATATGAAGTGGCACGTCATTAGTGACATAATGGCAACACAGCTAAAATCTTAACCATGAGGAAGTCGAGATCTTCTTACACAATAACACTATAAAATTTGCATTTAATGCAAATAACAGTCAAATTTTATGAAGAAGGGAGTATGCACTATATATGTATCCTTGACAATGGTTGTATCATTACCCCTGGAAGCTTAGTGACTGGGAGTGGCTCCCCAGTGAAACTTGACTCGTCCACTGCGCTTCTACCAGCTCTGACTATACCATCAGCAGGAACACGATCCTGGACAATGAGCACAACAATTTGTAAATAAATTAAATTTAGAACAATGTTTTCTTCCTGACATTCAGGAAAAAACATGTGCTCCAAAGAAATTAATAAACTAGACTGTAGTTGCAAGAAACATTACTCATGAATTTCTACAGCTATTAATAATATATCTGGTAATTTTAAATTATAGCATAGAGATGGAACCTAGTTGTTAGATTTTACAGGAAATAGGGAGCGGCAACCTGGAGAACAGAACATGTAGAGGAAGTTTTACTTACTCCAGGTAGTACAACAATTTTATCTCCTACAGATAGACTGTCACAAGGAACATCCACTGTTGAGCTCGACTCTTTACCATCACCATCAGCGTCACCATTCACCAGAAGACGAGCTTTTGGTGGCAGAACACTAAGAAGGCCTGTCATGTCACTGGTGGCCTTAATTTTAGCTCTTTGTTCGAGATTCCTTCCCAGTAAAACAAATGCTATCAACATAATTGGTTCTTCAAAGAACGCTTTCCAACCCTAAACAGAAGACAAAAACCAAACAGGGGGCAAAATTTTCAATGACCAATTACTCAAATACTCAGTGCAAAGAAAGGGAGGCACTTACAAAGGGGTACTGCTTCAAATACAAATAGCAAGACAGAGAAAAAAAAAACATTGAGCGGTGAACACAGCTATACATGTTCGGTTAGGTTTTCATTCATCAAAAACACTAAAAAGTTGGTTCCTAGTACACAGGTAATTTGACCTTATGGTGAATATGATTATTCTGCATGGTCATAATTCAATGTTAGGGTCAAGATTCGTTCTGGTTCACACTAGATTTGGCACCGAGTTGGATATTGAGTTAAAAGTTATTCACAGGAGGTTATTTCATGTTTATGTTTAGATCTATTGAATTTGGTACAAGTTGATGTCTACTGCAAGCCCACAATTTACCATTAATTTGGAATTTATAGAGCTTCAGTTAGTTTCGTTTTAGTACTTTTTACTTGTCAAGCCTGCTAATATCTATATTTGAAGCTTATAGCACATTCTTGAATATGTTAATTTGATTCAAACTTTTCATCTTTATTCAGCAATCAAATGTTTACAAATTGATTACCAGCTTTTTGAGAGAGCCGGCAGAGAGGTTTTCCTCCAATTACACACTACAAAACTGATGCCTAAACACTTCTATCCCCTTCTATTTATACTTGTAATCACTTGACTAATTGACCAGCCCCCTCTATTATCCCTACTATCTATATGTGTAACAATACCCGCCCCCCAAACATCCACCTTGTCCTCAAGGTGGAAAGAAATCACATAGCCATTTTCCTTCATGACTGCCTTAGCAACATCTAATGTTCTTTGAAAATGTGGATAGCAGCGAATAACTCTAGTTTGCCCAAGAATAAGAGGTGTGTGAGATCCAAATCCAGAATTGAACTCCTCGCTTAATTTGTTGACCCACACAACAGGGTCACAGGGTTCCAATATCTGTCTCCATTTGACGGCCATTGAGTAAAGATGAAGCCATGAGAAAACATATTGTCCTCATGACTTCTCTTCCAAGGCACTTGAAGTCGATGCTTCGGAGTAGCTGCTAGTATTACAACCAGCTCCGCCTCTGTTATGGTTAGGAATGATGATCTTCTCTTTTCTTCGGGGTCTCTTTCCGCCTTTTGATGTATTCTTAGTAGAAAACTTCCATTCATATTGCAGTGAACGCCAAACCTTAGACACCTTAGCCAGCGATGTGATGCTGACGCCTATTGGCCAAGAAGCCTGAGCAATGATACTGGATAGTTTTTCCGATACGATCAGCAGCATGCAGAAGTGCAATCATTGGTTTATAGTTAAAGTAAAATCTTGCTTCCTCAACTTCGCTTTTCTTAGAGGAGGCCGCCTGTAAACTTTTTCGCATACATTTTTGGGATGCAATCTTTTGCACCAGTATTCCTTAAACAGGGGGTCGATGTCGCCATCTATATCAAACCAGCAAAATTTGCTATTGATCTTCGCAGAGGTATACAAGGCAATTTCATTCTGATACAAAGTCAGGCATTGAAGCACAAATTTGTCCATCGAGTCAAGCTCCAAATCCAACGCGGCATCATAACCTTTTACAGCTTCTTTATATTCTCCAACAGCATGGTGGCAAGAATCCCGCAGATACAGACACTCTATGTTTGACCTTTCAATGATAAGCCCAATTGATAAGTCTTTGATCGCATTCGCAGATGAAGAACCATGGAAGACCGGTGATAGAGGTGGCTGAGATGATGGTGGTAACGGCAAAAACATCACCACCTGCGGTGGAAATGGCGGTGGCGAAAGATACTTGCTTTTCTTCCGTTGGCGTGGCAACATTGTTTCTTTTTCAATTTCATCGCTGTCGAAATCGGTTTCTGGCAAAACCGACACCACCAACGCCTTCCGTTTCATCTCCTTCTGCAACGATCGTGAACCAGAACCTCCACCACTTGTTTTCATTTTCTTGATTTTACCCCAAACGAAATCACCCACAACGAAATCGTGACCTTCTCCTTCTACAGTTTCATCCTGTTCACCATCGTAATCGCCTTTGTTCTACGCTAATTTCCTGCAGGAATCTTGACCGTTTACATGAATTCCCTCATCGTTCTTGCTCGTATCTTCTCCAAATTCAACAATTTCCACTTCGTTTTCTTGTTCCGTCGGATCACTAACCTCGGAAACCGACTTCATCTCGCCGCCATTTTCGCCGGAAAACGAGCCCTTTGCATCTACAAACACCATATTCTCATCATCACCACCAACCAAATAACCAGAAACCCCTTCTTTCTCATTTTCTTGAATCTTAAACCCTTCTTCTTGATTCTTTAAAACATCTTCTGTCTTTAACTTCTTGAAACGAATCCTTTATGATTTTCCAATCTTCTTGAATCACATCCATGGAAGACTTCATCGAAGTAATATCCTCCATCATCTTTTGCGCCATGACAAGCATGCTCCTGGTCAATTCCAGAATCGACTGCTCTGATACCATTTGATGCGAACTTTTCATCTTTATTAAACAATTAAATGTTTACAAATTGATTACCAGCTTTTCGAGAGAGCCGGATCTCTCCAGAGAGGTTTTCCTCCAATTTCACAATACAAAACCGATACCTAATCACTTATATCCCCTTCTATTTATACTTGTAATCACTTGACTAATTGACCATCCCCCATAATTGACTAATTGACCACCCCCCTATTATCCCTACTATCTATATGTGTAACAATACCCGCCCCCTAAACATCCACCTTGTCCTCAAGGTGGAAAGAAAAAAAAATCTGGAGTTTTATACTTCTTGGCTTTGTATTTGTTCCAGAAATTCATACTTTGGTGTATTCTTGAAATCTTTAGGGCTTGAGAGATGATTAAAGTCAATTTTTGGGCTTAAAAGAAGGATACAAATGTGGGTTTCACCGTAGCCTTTGAAGTCCAATAGAATGAATAAATCCATGCTTTTTCTTTGAACGTACATATGGTTGTTCCAAAAAAACATACGTGGATGAAGAACCATGGAAGACTCGTGATGGAGGCGGCTGGGATGATGGTGGTAACGGCAAAAACAACACCGGCGGCGGTGGTAATGGCGGTGGCGGTGGTAAGCCATGGTTGTTGCCCAACCAAAATCTTCCCATGATGCAATTACTTGTGCTCTCTATCAAAATCTTGTTCTTCTTTTCTTTGTCGATTGTCAATATAACCTGGAATAGCCTCTTGCGTGTTCTTCGTTTCTTCTCTGCCGGAGTCTTCTTTGTTGTCAATTTACTCCTCACCGTTGATTTTGTCTTTGCGTTATCGTTGTTCTCATAGTAGAATCATGGGATCTTGAAAATGAAGTGCTGGGATGGGTTTAGGGTTTCAAATTTTGACGGGCTTGATGGAATAGGCTTGGATTCCTTATTTTCCTTCCTCGCGGTTCTCTTCTTGCTCTTCTTCTTCATGGGCCAATTGAGTGGTGTCGTTTGCTTGGATTTTGGATTCCACATCAAACCTCGATTCGAAATTAAATCTGATTTTGGCTTCAGATTCAATCTTTCTCCTTCCTTCTCTCTCTCATCTTGTTTTCTTTTTCTTTTTTCTGCCAAGGCCGTAAGTTTGCAATCTTGATCAATCGATTGTTCTTGGACATAATTCAAGTCTTCTTGAATCAAATCCTTTATGATTTTCCAATCTTCTTCTTCTTCTACGGTTTCATCTTGTTCACCATTGTAATTGCCTTCGTTCTCCGCTAATTCCCTGCCGGAATCTTGGCCGTTGACATAAATTCCCTCATCGTTCTTGCTCGTATCTTCCCCGGATTCAGCGATTTCCACTTCGTTTTCTTGTTTCCCAATTCCCGTCGGATCACCAACCTCGGAAACCGACTTCATCTCGCCGCCATTATCGCCAAAAAACAAGCCCTTTGCATTTAAAAACACGATATTCTCATCATCACCAACCAAATTACCATAAACCCCTTCTTTCTCATTTTCTTGAATCTCAAACCCTTCTTCTTGATTCTTTAAAACGTCGTCGTCTTTAACTTCTTGAATCACATCCATGGAAGACTTCATCGAAGTAATATCCTCCATCTTTTGTGCCATGACAAGCATGCTCCTAGTCAATTCCAGAATCGACTGCTCTAATACCATTTGATGCGAACTTTTCATCTTTATTCAACAATCAAATGTTTACAAATTCATTACCAGCTTTTCGAGAGAGTCGGATCTCTCCAGAGAGGTTTTCCTCCAATTTCACAATACAAAACCGATACCTAATCACTTCTATCCCCTTCCATTTATACTTGTAATCACTTGACTAATTGACTAGTCCCCACAATTGACTAATTGACCACCATCCCTATTATCCCTGCTATCTATGTGTAACATAATTGAATATCATCCTTTAACTTTAAAACCTAACTTTTCTTGCATGTATATTTCTGTACTTTTAAACCGAATGCTCGATAAGTGCCAAACTTCAAAATTTTCACTTCTGATACCTAATTAGAAAAAAGAAAATATAGATATTTTTTCAAATCAGATGATGAAGTGTGTTGTTGAAAAAAGGGTTTTCGCCCATGCCCCATCAGACTCTTGAATGCAGGCCTGTGTGTCGAGGATTGAGAACGATGATAAATCCTTAGCTTAGCACAAGTGTGAGAACAAACTCAACAAAGAGATCCTACATTATCTACTACCTAGGTGTATGATGGAATACGCTAACCCTCTTATGATACTCGACCAAACTCCCTCAAACCAAAAAGTATAAAATCCCCTTGGTTATTATCCAGCATTATCGTATCAACTCAAATGCAAAAACTTTCTAATCCGACCAATTAATGATACCTAGTAAAAACTAGAGTAAAGAAGAACAGATCTTGCTCAATTACATGAATGTTTTCATAGCATCAATTCCCAAGCAGAAGACCAAATAAAATATGGTACATAAATATAGCTTTTGAAATTTGATATCATGAACAGATATTTCTAGAAAACATTATTACTTAGATGAGAACCTAAGAGTTATAGGTACCGTTCTCAGGGAAAACAAGTATAACATACACGCAGAACTTAGAAAGGTCTTCACCGAGTGGCCTTTGGCCCAATGGTATTGGTGTATATCTACGACGTGTAGGTTGTGAGTTCAAGTCTCTTTTGGGACATCAATATATCAGTTTGTTGACCGTTTAAAAAGAGATCAAAGGAAGATTGTCGTGAAAGATAAAAGCGGTAGAATTAAAGAAGAAAATACAAGATGTAACAATATAAATATGCTCAATAGTGCAAATATAGAACAAACGTCAGGGCAAAGAAGAAAAGTGAGAAAGCATGATAGGAGTGACTATAAACAGATGGGCCCACAGACAAACAAAACTAGAAACCCCATATTAAATTATTTACTAGCTAGATCAAAAAGGATTGGAGTCTTCTATGCCAAACCTAAAACTAACACTCTGCAAGCAAAGAAAAATTGAAGTTGAGCATTTCAATAGCATTATTTTGCAAGTGTTTTGACAGGACAATTTCATGATTTTATGCGCTTTCTTAATCTAGGTGGTTGATTGCATCCCTTCTCTTTCATGGGTTAAGTGGGTGTAGGGGTGATGGATCATCTTCCTTTTAGTACTCGTAGCAGTAAGACATTAGTCATAGATCAAGATCAATATCATATATAAAATGATCACCCGCTACAACGACTTTAGATAGCAGAAAAAAATCAAGATTCATTTTTAAGAATGGAAGAACTTCATTTCCTTAAACAAGGTAGGATATATGGTGGAGAAAATGCATATTTCCATGAAACAAACAAATATTCTAACAAAAGCACAGTGGTACTTACCAATTTTGGTATCAATGCTGCAAACGAGCTGACAGTAAATGACGATATCGCCCCAAGACCAACTAATGTATTCATGTTTGGATTCCCCCTCATGAGACTTTTCAGACCATCAACAATAAGTTGGCGTCCAGGAATTAGCAATGTAAATAAAGACAAAGACAAGTGGAAACCGGTGGAATGCATGGCATGTATCCACCAAGCCTTGGCTCCAATGAAATGGGAGACATGCCCAAAGAGGCATACAGCACATAAAGCCCAAGATACTGCAAGTCCCCTACCTGTACAAAGGAAAGCAGTTACTCCAAAAATCAACTACATAAATTAAGCTAAACATGAAATCCCAAACAGGATGCCTAAGAAATACTTGGGAAAGGAAACTCAGGACATAAGGATCACGTTTGCTATAGTTAGTCTCCTTTTTTCTGAAACATTCTTTTAGTTTTCCTTTTGCTTTATACTCTCCTCCCATGTTCTGTCATGCACTCTATGTGTTCACTTCTTAATTAGACATACTTTCACCCTAAATCAAATGCTCAAGAACATAAAAACCCAAACTTCGCCTAAACAAGCTGCCAGAGATGCTTAAAATGGAGTTCTTTTAGATCTAATAAATCAGGAGGAATTTAATGACAGAACGTGAAGCCATATTTTCGAAACGAACCAAGGCCAATCCAAATTTCTCTTGTAAAAAATCTGCTACAGAGATCGGCTGCCTTCCTGGGCTGTTCACACCCAATAGGGTGTAATGCTGCCCTGTAGCTTTTCTCCAGAATGTGCTGCACTGGTCTGGTGCCACCCCAGGGTACACTGCACCATCTGCTGCTGCCAATGGTCTGCCAAAGACACATACTACCTCCCAATGCTACCTCACCCAGATTCAGCCATCTGCCACCTTCCTACAACTGGCCGCATCTAGTTGGTACTTACTAAAAGGTTGCCGCCCCCATCTCTATCTTATGTTGGCGGCACCGACCTCTCCCCCAATCTGATGCCACAACCTTCTACTTGCATGGGTTTATCATGTTACAACTCTATTCTCCCGAGTCGGTTTTGCTTCTCATGTTCTGATTAGTATCGCTTGGTTAATCTCTTTCTAATATACATTTTCTCTCCTATTTATAAGTATTCCTTCTGCTCTGCATGACTTCTATTATGGGTTGCAAGGACTAAGAAGAAAATTAGGGGTAACAATCAGGGAATCATCACTGCTTCTATGTATTTGTCCACAGTGATTAAATGTGCAGTATGATACAATGGCCTATGTTTGTTCAAACTAGACACATAGATATCCAAAACAAGCCTTATTTGACTGAGGACCTCAGAATCTTACTACAAGGGATGATGATAGTGGTAAAAGCATCCTATTGTGTAACTGTCCACAGCCATGGACATTTAACAGTCTTACCACAAAGAAGATACGGCCCACACCCTGTTATGTACTCTGTTCCCCCCATTATTGAAAATATGCCTTTTTAACCTAAATCATCAAAAACAAAAAGTACAATTTAAGTGCATACCACTTTCTTTTAACTGGTTACGCTTTTCTTCCACCTTCCTTTGAAATGTTTGGAAGACACTCTGTTTCTTAGAATCTGCAAAAAGTAGGCATACAAGGATGGTTAAAGGACCATTGCAACTTATCCACTAAAAATGAGGGCCCAAATCAACATCAAGACATACTACACAAGACATTTAGCTCTATTCAACACAAGGGGAATTTCCTCTCTTGCATTAATCAACTGAAGTGAAAGAGGTTAAGATACTCAATGTCGTAGCAGATGTGCAAAACCGATAGTAATTAAAACAAGGTAACATTGAAATGGACTCTAACAATCTGTAATTAAGATTTAACATCCAAATATTGACAATAAGAGACATTATTATGGATACTTATTAAGGTGTATAATTGTCTGCTTGTTGAAGGAAGAATGTAGGGCCAGACAAAATGCAGACCAAAGTCAAAAGTGAAATGCTACATTATATCTAGGTTTCAAAGAAACGAATCATAAACATGTAATGCAGAAATAATGGAATTAAGATTCAATTTTGAAGGATTGGAAGCTAAATTCATGAGGGTATGGGAGGGAGGAAAAGATATATATATATATATATATATATAGAGAGAGAGAGAGAGAAAGAGAGAGAGAGAAGTCCGTTAATTTTAGAGCAAACGTTTTTATTCGATGTTTTAACAATTTATCAAACAAGAAAAATAAAGCCAATGCCGCTAATCTTTCATCTATACACATATAATACAAGATACCTGCACCTTACGTTTGTCCAAGGCACATGATCAAATAATGTTGGAACATCAACATAAGCAGAAGTAATATGCTTGCATGATACTAATTGTAGATCTTTCTTCCTCTTTTCCCACAAACACAGGTTACCAACAAGTGGGCTACATTGTAATTTTAGTTGCCGTTCTAACTGCAAACATCTTTTTATTTGATGTTGGGCACCACAGGCTGTTGCTACTGTTCCTAGTTCCCAGAGTACACAATGCATCATGTTGGGTTGCGAGTCTGATGTTGCCAAACATTCGTTCTGCTGCTATACTTGCAGGAGTCCGCAAGTATTCAGTAGCAAGGACATGCAATTGTAAAACCCAAAGAGAGACAATGCAAACTAATTATACATACTCACTAGTGCAGCCATGTAGGTCACTCATTGACCAAACCATGTAATCCTTGTTTCTTCATGTTTTGTGTGTATTTTTACATTCCGGTATCCGTGATATTTCTCTTACTTGTAAATCTGTATCCCTACGGATTTGCATTTTTCTCAACACATCATGCATCAGATGAGAGGAATTTAAAAGAAAACGCAGCGTGAGAAATCAAGCTAAACCTCATTTCTAAATTTTAGTTATGTCAAAAACATACATCGCTGCATCAGAAGTAATATGACCATACTTGAGGAAAGAAGTTAAGTGAAAAGGAATAATAATCAGCAACTATCAGGATGATCCACACTTGAAGAAATAACAATTAGCCTAGCAGGAATATTACACAGTTTGGCCTTCAAGATTCAAGATTAGCAATAAACCTTTCTGGTAGTAACTTTGAGAGATTCATACATAACTGTGTCAGATAAAAGCAAAATAATAATTCAAAATGTGGGAGGAATTCTCATGGAATTCATACAAGGCCAGTAGTCCAATATGAAAATCCGAAGTTCGAAATGGGGAGTAGGCTGGGTAAGCAAGATAAACTTAAAACAGCAAAAAAGACAAGTACACTGATAGTTAGGTCGAATATCCAACTTGGTGACACACAAACCATCAGAAAGCTAACAGCAGTTGGACCTCAAGAACAAGGAATTTGACTTTACCAAATAATATTATGAACCAACACTGTATGTCTGTATCTCATGTGCTTTCATAAGAATATAGACCCTTGAAAAAGTAACCATGTATCTTTATAATGTTAAGTGGATATGTTGCCAAATATTTATAAAGCAACTCCAACTTCTGATGTTCTAGACAAAATTCACATTGTAAGGTGGCACAGTTGCTTTAATACAGGCATGTCAAATACTCAATGTATAAGACAGCACTTAAGCTTCAAATATAGCACAAGATAAATAAAATATGTGAATGATCATCTATTTTTCTGTCCTGTGACCTGTTGATAATGGACAGCCTGTTATATGCCGTTTGTTTCTAGTTTCTTTTGTATAATGTAAGTTTAGTTACCAAATAAATAATTATCAGCAAAAGTTTATCCAAATCACTGCACCCTTGGATGAGAAAGGCTGGGGATTATCTTACAAATAAGTCATTATTTAGGTCGAATAGAGTTAAATGAAACAGTTCCAAACAAATAAAGCTGCAGGGATATGCATCAGGTGGAGTGTGGTAGTCCTTGAAGGTATATTGTTTTTCTTCTTTTATCTAAATCTCACAGTAAGGTCACTACGGAATGCGACAGCTGACAAGTGTCTAAAGAACTATCACACAGAGAAAGTAACATCACCTTGGTTCTTGTTTTCAGAAGCTATGCCAATCGACATTGGTAGTTCTTGTGTATCTTTAACGCAACCAATATTGTTTTTCCAGACAACAGATACTCTAATGTGAGTCACTGATTTGTATTATCGACATGGTATCTCATAACCAACTTCCAAACCTTCTATAAGAAGAGATGCCTATCTTTGAGTCAATGGATAATTTAGAGACTTCCCTCAAAATCAACAATCCATATTACGTTGAGAAAATAGGGAAATTATTTTAAAAAAATTCATTAAGAAACCACAAAATCTAACTATTAGAACATCAAAAAATGTATAGACCACAAGGTGACAGATCTTATTTTAAACTAGAAAGAAGGATACAATTCAACTAGAGTGTTCTTCAACTAGCATAAAGCAATCATCATTACTCAGAACAAATCTAGAGTGATGCTTTTGAAGAAGTGTGATTCTCTACTACATAAAATGTGAAAAAAGAACTCAGACTAAGTAAACCATCCAAATTGTGAGGGTGCTCCCACGGTAGAATTGCGTCCTTGTAAACAACACTCACCTACGGATATAAAAACTATATTAAACACGGCTCAAAAATTGAACTACCTTCCAAAGATAGAATTTGAGATTTCCAGTGTGAACAAGACAACATATTGGCAAATATAAAAATAAAAAGTCTAAGTAACAGGGACATACCACAAAGGAATATGGTTGCTCTAACAAGAATCCTTTCCATTTTCTAAGATGGCTATCCTTCAGTTGCAGCCTCACCTGCCAGTTACCCACCAATCCTCAATATTAATTACCGAGTCAAATGAGACCGAAAAAATAGTACAAGTCCTCTATTATTCACAGAGATCTTTAGTGGAAATCAAGTAGAAACCAATATGCTTCTTGACATCTTGGGTAGGTCAATGCACAAGTTATCCCAAGTAATAGTTACTTATAGGATAGGAGTAGAACGTCATGGACTTCCGAAACCGATAACCAAAGGTTTAGTACGAAGACTTATTTCACATCCTCAGGTAAAATCTTTTCATATATTTTTATTTGTTAATTTTACATCCACTCAAAAGTGAATGCCTCAAAATGTAATAAGATAGTGTAGATCGGGACAAGCCACTATTTATTATTCAAAAGGTATAAAAATTCACCCTTTACATTTTGAAAGATTTCAACTATAATAATAAGCTATTGTCATTTAGAAAAACGCACTTTGAAGAACTCATGTGATTAGAGAAAAAAAAACTATAATAAAGCTTTCTAGTGAAAAACATGTGTGTTGTGACTGGGTTTTCAATATAGATATGAAAAAATTAAAATAATGACAAAAACGTTGTTTAAAATTTAGAAGTAACCAAAGCTCTCATTTCTTCTGGGATAAAACCAAAAGTCAAAAGGCCCATTAAGTTTGGGACAGGGAGATCATTATTCATTAACTACTTTCCGTGGTTTGTATTTGATTTGTCCTTACTTTAGAATACAAATCATGCATAGGTAACAACCGAATCTCGGAGCCCTTGATTTTGTGTATTTTGAAATTTCTAGGAAGTTATGAGTAAATTCAGGGACCGCTTTAATCCACACCGTTGCTAATCAGCACGGTGGATGAGATTGGTTAGTAGGGTTTGCAACCTTTCATGGTTTGTATTTGATTTCTCCTCTAGCACTTAATCCACCATTTGACCAATTTTGAACTATATAAATTATTAAAATACTGGTTCTGGTAGCTTAAGTGTTTGAATGTCATGGTGTAGTTCTGAAGAAAATCCATTTGTTTCCATTAAAACTATTTCATCGCCCCGAAAATAACTCACATCACTGTGGAGGAACCCAACATGATATCATTCAATGCCAGAGCACATATCATGCAAAGATTCTTGTAGGTCAACCAAAACCAGAGGATAGGTCCCTGTAGCCTTACACTTGACACAAAGAAAAAAGATGGAAGATAAAACAAAAACAAACAAAACAGAAAGAAGAGGAAAAAAAAAGCAAAACAAACACATGGTAAGTATTCTTGGTGGTGTTGGTCCATCTCTGATAGCCCTAATTCCATATGAGCAATATTGTGTGTACTTGTGTATGAATAGAGCATCACCAACATCCAATACTTGGCATAAAACTCTGAACAGCTATATTTTTGACCAATTCCTTGCTTAACTGTTGAAGGAATATCAACAGTGTAAAGCTGTCTCTTTGGGTATAGCATATGTCAGTAGGTATAAAAAAAAGTCGCAAGTCAAGGGGAGTATATAAATTACTGATAATGAAGCATCACATTGAGGTTTTAATAGTTATACCCAGCAAAACAGCTGCACAAAATGCTTAACCTTTATCAGTGGCACAACAAAATATTTGCATTGCTAGGTGCGTCAAACATTCTCATTCATCGCCATCTAGTTTTAACATGCTCTACTATCAAGAAGTTTATAATTATAATGGAACATGAGTACATGATTGAACATTCAAAACAATCAGGTAAAACTATGAATTGCAATATGGTAGAGAATTCAAATATTACAGTGGGGAAGATACTGACCTCTAAGGTTAGAATTAAATCCACAAGTTGACAAATGTTTTGCAAGTTCTTCTCCCAAGACTTTTTGCCAGTTTGGTGTAACCTTGGCTTCAGATATAGGCCATACAATTGCCGTCTCTGTTGTAAGATTCACACTGGCAGAAGAAACCAGTGGCTGGAGACATATGAAATATCTTCATTAACTCGGCCCATTTCAAGATACAACGGTAAATAAAATGATTTTCAAAAAAAGCATCACAGAAATTGCAGCATAAGAAGAAACAGCCTCACAACAGGCAGAATCACAGTCACCGTCAACAAGTATTTATTCTAGCATATTTGCAAAGTCCTTTTTGTTTTTTTCTATTGTAACAATTCATCTTCGAAATCCTAGTGATTATTTATTGCTAAGTGTGGACAAGTAGAGATTTCTGTTGTTCAAAGATGTAGAAATGCCAAGAAAAGTATAACTACAAAGGCATACATACTCTCAAATCAAAACAACCCCTTTCATTTTAAGTCTGAAAGAACTCCACTTATCTAGGTTGCTAAAGCACACATACACCAAATTATAAACATGCAAGGCATGTAGAAGTACTTACTTGGCTCTCCAAAATTCTTTTGACACTTGCAGCACATCCTCCACAAGTCATACCCTGACAGAGAAGAGGATTCAAAAGCTGAGAAATATAGAACAAAAGAAACCACACATTTTCACAAAAATTATTTGAAAAATAAAATCATTGACGTCCAATAACAGAGTGTACAAATAACAAATAACAGAATTAATTTGAAAAATAAAATCATTGACGTAAAATAACAGAGTGTACAAATAGGAAAAAGGAAACCATAAAATTAAGTCAGGATACTGTTCCAATTAATTCAAGCCCTCTATACTTTTTTCTTATATTCTATTGATCATTTAAACTTTTGACTTAGCATATTAACCTTAATATAATACATAACAAAAAAGATTTATGATACCAGTACCATTATCTTATAATGCCATTTATCCACAAGTGAAGTAAAACAAAAGAGCTACAATATTCATGGTGTATAGTCTAGATGTTTAAATTCATTTTAAATGCATGACAAGCTGTTAATTTCTATTTACTGCAAACTGGTGACATGCAAGAAACTGGTGCTCTTAAGTTTTCTAATTCTCTGATCCCCATCCAAATACAGAAACGAAGATTATCAAGCGTATGTTTGTTCTACTATATCTACAAAACATCAATTGCTCTGACAAGCCCCACCAAAGTTCACAAGATTGAGAACAGGCAAAGTTGTAGATATAAACGCCTGTTTCCTAGAGATGCCTCCGAAAGGGGTGTATTTCTTGTGTTTCTTATTTTTATGCGTTCATTGATGTTTCTGTATAGAAATTTCTCTCTCTATGATGATGCATATGTTTATTGATCCCACTATTTATCCTCTGAATGGACAAAAACTGAAAGTTGAATGAACAACGCCAAGTATGAATTGAGCATTGCCATCCATACTAGATTTGGGATAGAATGTTCACTTTAAAATTTTGATCAACGAAAAACCTATTATCATGATCAATTATCAAGATCAACCGTAAGCAAACGAATGCCAGAAGAACAATGCTTACTCCAACATCTAGTATTATCACATCAGACGATAAAGCAGAAACATCATCAGCTCCTCCAGCGATCGGAGTAGCCTTGACTTCCCCTCCATCAGCACCGCCGCCACCACCACCTCCACCTCCACTATAGCCACCTCCTCCAATCCCCCCACCGCCGGAAGCAAACGAAGCAGCAGAGCTCGAAACGCATTCCAAACGATACCCCACCAAAGGCACACTACCACCACCCACATTCCTGAACCCAAACAACGGGGATGCAGAACCTAACTTCCTAGATGGTCTCCGAAAGTCCGCTTTGGTGGCGGCGATAGTCCGTCGGACATGGAATACTGCAAGCTGATTCCGGAGGGTTTGACCACCGGGAGTAGAGTAATTTAGGGCTCTAGAGAAACCCAATAAAGAAGTGGTAGCCGTTGCCGTTGCCGTTGCCGTTGCCGTTGCCGATAATGTTGACTCCATTGCTACCGGTGATGTTTGGCGTTGGATAGGGAAGAAGTGAGCGATTGTAACTTGCAAGTGTACCTACCAAATCAGAGTGTCTTGAAGGAAAACCCTAGAAACCAATTAATTAATTACAGTAACGATTATCTCATACTTCAAGATCATTTATTACCATTTATAATTGAATTCAGAGCAACCATCCAGGCTGGAGGCGGTGGTAGTTGGACTTTGGAGATCATGATTCTCACGTGTCTATATATCTGATCATGTTATTTCCACGTGCCGTTCAAGATGATTATTATATTATTGGAAAAACTCCAAAAAAAAAACCAAAAACGAATTTTACTGTATGGAACAATTAAGTTATTAGACAATTTTTTGGAACAAATAAATCCTTAGACATTATAAAATCTATTATATAAGTCCTTAGATTTTTTAGAACTTGTTAAATAGATCCTTATTTTTTGAAAATGTAACTTGTAACCTGAATAGAAGGTAAACTCAAATTTTTAAAAAAAAAAACCCTAATAATATCCTAAAAATGATGAGTCCCCATCTCCCTCATCTCCACACCACCGTCGCTGCTTAACTCCCCCACGCCACGGTCTCCCTCTCGTCGGTTCATGCCGCACCACCCCCGTCGCCGCGCACACCACCCCTGTAGTCGCTGCACCACCGCACCACCCCTGTTGCCGCTCGTCGCCACTGCACCCAGCCCTGTCACCGCTCGTCGCCATACACCACCGTCCCATCGTCGGTCGTTGCTGTTGAACCGTCCCTATCGCCGGTCCCGCTGCAATTTGATCTAATCAGGTTTGTTCCAACATTGTTCATCATATGATTACATTTTAATGTGCAACTTACATATCTACAATATCAAAGATGAATCATGTCGATTATTATAATTTTGTTCATTTTGAGGATGAGTTTTATCATGAGCTATGAACATGTCGATTATAATAAATTTGTCCAATTGCTTTACTACAAAATATGAATCACTCGATCTTCTAGCATAAATCGATCGTTGTTAATGCGATTGTTTATCTGGTAAAAGAACACTAAAAAAAACTCACTAGTTGGATGTGTGTTTAATTTGCAATCAAGAACAAATGACAAAATGCAATAAAAAAGATATTATGTTCAGCTAGTAACCTTTCTTGAATGTTGGTCTCTACTCGATGTCACATCCAATAACAGCACGACCCCCCATCCCTATTCTTAGTTTAAACAAACGTTAACAGCTCATTTACAGCTTTCTCCACCTCTGAAAATGATCTGATGTACACAATATGACCTTTAAAAGTCATTGCAAGATATCCTTATTTGTACTTTTGTATCTTTGTAACTACTACTTTACAGTATGAGTTGTATTCCAGTCGGAGATAATTAGCTAGCCATTAGATATTTCTTATCACCATTCTTTCTCATAACCAATGCAAACGAGTGAAACATTATATGGCGTTACAAACTGTTAAAGAGAAAGATCACTTTGTTTGACATACAAAATATAAATATGATTGCAACCATTTAGGGGTCGTTTATCAAACGCTTATCACTTACCAAGTCACATTAACTTAACGTATGAATATGGTAAAAACCAAGAATCTTACCCGGTAAGAACAAGGTAAGGACCAAGAATCTTACCCGGTAAGTGAGGACGAGGACTCTTACCACAGTTAGCGCTTACCAGGTAAATTGTTGCATACGATGCCGTTTTTGTTGACTAAAATCTTATCCGATAAGTAAGTGATAATGTTGAATTTTACTGGTAAGCGCTTACCGGGTAAGTGTTTGGTAAACTGCCCCTTAGTCATATAAACTGTTTACTCTAGCCTTGTTCATTTTTCAAACTAAAGCAACAAGAAGACAATGTAATGCATGATCCTACAATTGATCCTTCAGTTACAAATAAAATGATAAACTCATTTTAAATTTCCAAATCAATTTACATGAAACTACACCCTTTAGCATAAAATCATGTCGTTTTTGTTGCTCTGCAGTAAGAAGCAAAGAAAATCAAACACGATATTTACATGGTTCTACAATTTGCTCAATCCCATGGTCAATTTTAATTACCTAATTCAGCAATTTTCTGGCGCATTTGTAGTTTAAAAAACATGAAGTCCATGACCAGTTTACATGTTTCATATCCAACATTATGATGTCCTTGAACTTCCCTAACTGTATAGTATTTTCTTATCCATCATTACAGTACTGTACCACCACTGCTAAACCCTTAGATAATACCAAGGGCACATTTTGAGACAATATTCACCCTTAAAATTTGTCATTTTAGAATTGTATCTCTGATTTTGGGACAAGAATAATCTGCATTGGGCTACTTTTTCTATTGAAAGAAATATACATAGAAATCGATAGGTTTTGTTTTCATTGATGAATCATGATGAAATCGTTATTCTTGTTTACAGAATGATATCATCGTTTCTTGTAGCTTTTTTATCATGTGGCAGTTAATGATTGTACCCACTGCCCAGACAAATTTTACTTTTTCAGAAAATAACTTGAGAGTTAGTTTACTGAAATTACATGAAACTACATTACTAAGCAGAAATATATCAATAGTGTCCTTTTACTTCTTCCCTTTGGGAAAAACTATCCAGATTAGAGAAGCGATGTTGCTCGGTCAATACAAAAGGAATTTTACTGTTTTTCTTTTGTTTATGCTTTTGCAATTTCTATTGTCTATCTGGTTTTTCTTTGTGGCATGCATGATTTCTAGAAAACTTTTATTACATGAACTTCTATATTTGACTTGACAAGTTTGAGGCCGGGGGCTATTGATAAACTGCCTTACTTTATGACACATAAATTCAGTATAAAGTGAATGGGATGTGGGAAGTACACTACTGTCAGTAATCTCTAAACCTTTCGCCTGTCTATTTTTTGTGATGAAACCCATAAGTGGCAATGTGAAGGGAATGTTATGGCAAAGTTATGTTTTGTATTACTTTAATACATTTAAATGAGAGTTACATTACTCCTTGATTTAGCCATTTTGAAGTTATCAATGTGTTGTAAATTATATTGTTTGTGATTGTTTATAAACGGATGTATTTTGAGAAATAATCATTAACACTTCAATAGTCAACATTCTTAATCGAACGATTTCGTTGTGTCTGATGTATTATACAATGTGGATGATCAAAATGAACACAGTAGCAGTCAACATGCATGAACAACGTTCAATAATGAACGTTGTTCACATTGACAACTTGTTCATTGATGAACATTGTTTACTAGTCACACATACTTACACGTTCAGATATAGAGGAGCGATCAAATGCAAACCACCAAATTTGTACAAACCGTGCAAACCTCATTCAACCGATCATAATTTTTCATTTTGTTCATTTTTTTGTAATTATGAGAGGTTGATTAATCATTTTTATTGTGAAAGATGTTAATTATGGATATTATCATCTTCATTATTTTAATTTTAGAGAAATACATGAAACAGTTTCATTAAAATTTCATTGAATATTGTATGAAACAATTTCATAATCATATATGAAACAACTTAATCAAAAAAAAGTATTATATGAAACAATTTCACAAGATTAAACAATTTCATGAAAAAATTTCATAAGATTAAACAATAAAATCGACAGATGAGGGTGGTTTACACAGTTTGTACAAATTAGATGGTTTGTATTTGATCACTCCTCTTCAGATATATATATACACACACACACATATTTTATTGAAAACCAGGGGACAAAGAAGGAGTGCAACATGTATCCCATGCGTCCACGAGTTATTCATGATACACATTCATCATTAATAATGAATCATGATCATGTATTATTCATCATGAATAATTCATGAATTTCACCTTCGTTATCTATACTATATTATAAATAATTGTAAAAACTTTATCTATACTATATTATAAATAATTGTAAAACTTTATCTATACTATATTATAAAACATTTGACAAAAACTTTTAAAAACTAYTTYTTATGCATAAAGTACTGTTTATTAATGCATGTTACTTAAAACTCAATATTACAAGTAGATTGTGCGTAAATACAACTTATTAAAGCTACATATCTTAATTCGTGTAACTAACTACGGATAAACATAATCAAATACAGGATAAACATCTCATTTTAAATATAAAAAATCTAAAATATAATTAGGATAATTATTGAGTTCTAACAGAATACTTAATTATTATCTTTATAAAATTAAAATTTGATTTTTTACATAATTTTTTTTGAAGTTTTTTTAAGAATACAAAAAGTGTTATTCTAGTACACTTAAAAATATGTAATTGGGTCAAATAAATACACTTGAAAACACGTTTTTTCACAAGAATTGTGATTGTTTGTGAGTTGGTATCTTCCCTTATACACCATATGACTTGTACCTAGTGAATCAGGGTAAATGAGAATTAACTACACTTAAAAAGTCCGTTCTATTATGATTTTATAATTGGTTTCAATCAAATACACTTAGAAAAGTTAAATATACATTTAAAAATACTACTTTTTTGGAAGAAAAAAAAATCGGGCTGGGCCCATAACTGGTCCAAGCCAGGGACGGACCGGACATTGTCTTTTGACGAAAACCATAACCGGTCCCAAAAGACAAATGGAGTTTTCTTTGTTGACATAAGATCTAATTGTATAAAGAATCAAGTCACAAAAAATCCGCCCCTTTTTCTATATTCCTAATTATCGATCAAGAAGCCTCTATCAACAAGATAAAATATGAAATACTTAACAACATTTCCGCTCAGATCCATTTGTATAAAGAGTAGTGAATGAGGAAAAAAAAGGAATTTTGAACCGCTAAGGAAAAAAAGATAAAATAAATAAAAAGAATACAAGAAATAATTAGGGAGTCAAACTCGAGCTTAAATGTTCAAGTACCAGGCGCTACGAAGCAAATATAACCCACCCAACAAGCATTAGCTCTCCCTGAGAAGAAGGAGATCCAACCACACCTTCCGGTACAACCATCTTGTTACGCCGGCGGTCCCAATCGGTCCTGGTCCTCCACCGGGCCCATTTTGTGACCTCCGTCATTTTTGAGCCTCAGGTTAGCTCCTTTATAGGGATTCTATATTTAGAATATTATTTTATTAGGATCTAGTCATGATAATTAGAATTCATCTGGTTTAGTTCCCAAATTATAGATTAAGAGAGCCTTGCTTCGTCGGGTAACTGATAAAGTTAACTTATGTAATGTCAAATATATTAAAATGCTCCAAATGAAATAAAGTGGATATTATAAACATCTAAATTAAAATACGAAAGTCTCATTTGAATGTCCAAATAATTTTATCAAAAGGTGGAGCTTTGTGTTAATAATGTCATTTTTTTATATATATAATAATGTTTGGCAAATTGTATTTTGATTATAAAATAATTGGGCTTATTTATGTTTAAAAAAATAATAATAATAAAAGCTTTTAGTGGGTTTGGGCCTTTAAAAGCCAGCCCATTATCTTCTTTAAAATCCATATATAAATACCTCACATCCTTTGAAACTCTCTTTACCAAATCTCATTTTGCTTAAACCATTCCCCCTCTCTAATCTCTCTCTCTCTCTAAATCAAACCCCCCCCCCCTCCAACCGATTCCATCTTCAAGAACCTTTAGAAAATCTGTCAATCTTGAAGGATATTCAAGATTTCAAAAAAAAAAAAGGTATTATACTAGTTATCTTACCTATCTTAAATATCAAAAATTTCTAATTATTCTACTCCTACTTCTTGTTCTTGTAAATAAAGTTTCTGGGGATTTCAAAATGGGAGATTGTACATCCAAGACATGAAAATGTCTTCAAATGATGGTAATCTATGAACCACGAACTTCGAACTCTAAGAAAGTAGGAGAAAACTCAATGCATGTTGAATCTAATCATGAAAAGATGTATTTTGAAATCTGGCAGAATCTTGCATGCATCTCAAATCGGTTTTATCTTCCTCAAAACTCAGTGGAATTGGGTAATGGGTAATCCTTTTTCTGGAGATTAGCCTTATTTGTTAGCTTAAAAATAGAGTTAAAATCTTTGAAAAATGAAGAGTTCAGACCCCCCCCCCGCCGCCCCTCGAAGAGTGTGCAATTTGTTTTGAGGGTTGTATCACTCAAGGTTGTAGGGTATTAATGAGTGCCTTAAACTCATTCAAAATTCTTGATATTTGAGAAAAGTATGTCTAACTCATTATTTTGGATGATATAAAAAGTTGGACATAAAATGACTTTTGGAAGGTTTCTTTTTGCAATGATTGGTGAGACCAAAAATACCAAAAACAAAATTTATATTATGTCCATATAGCAGCTTTTATGCAAAGGACTATGATTTTGAAATATATAATTTTTGGTCTATTTTTAGAACAAATAATAAAAGTATCAATTTTAATCCATAAAAACTGTTGGCCTTACATAAGATATAATTTGACTTTATCTTTATCGGGACTCGTTAGGTGATCTAACTATTGGATTCGGACTGTTTAGGAAGGTTAGGGCGGACGTTGAGCGCTTCAAACGTCTTATTTAAACTGGGGGAAAAACATGAAGTTATGCAAACTATACTGTTATTTATAAAACTATTGGACTAAAGAACTGTTTAGTCAAAGATTGCTTATACCTGGACTAAAGAACTGTTTAGTCAAAGATTGATTATACCTGGACTAAAGAACTGTTTAGTCAAAAATTTGTTTATGTCATGAAATATTGACTGTTTTGCACTATGATATAAATGCTAAATTGATGTACTTGGGAGTATGTTTCCAAATAAAGTCCCCGTCCGTAAACGCTACTTGTTAACTCGGGCATGTCCCCGGGCCGTGGTAACTGTAGATAGTCGCTATTGTGTTGACAATCCCACCCAGAAAGGGGTGCACATTACCTATGTTTTTATTAGTCTAATCATGTGGAATTTGGACCACCGCTAAATTAGTACTATTACGAACTATGGGCCCTAAATGAGTGTACGGGCTACTTATGGTCATTCGTAAAATATTGGGGCACATTGGTCAGGAAAGGCTCAGTAGCGTCTCATGTTTTTAAACATCGTGGAAGATTTACATTTATTAAGTGCAAAAGTTATGCATAAGTTTGCAAGAAATGATTTATGCATTGAAATGTTTTGTGCATATGAAAACCTATGAACTCACCAACTCTTTGTACTTGACATTGTTTTATGTTTCATGCTTTTCAGGAAATAAGTAWGAAATGAAGTTTTTGGGAGCATACTTGTGGCGATACCGATTAAGTTCACATTTGAAGTTTTTGTAAAGAAGTATTCTATCCCAATTTGGTTATGGAAGTTAAACTTGATTTATTTTTGTAAAACTTGAATGGTGTTATTTATTATCTGCTGCTATGACTCGCTTATCTGTTACACCTCGTGTTTCCGCTTTAACGGGGTGTGACACATTTGACCATTTTTGCTAAGGGGCCGTTTATCAAACACTTACCCGGTAAGTGCTTACGGGTAAAATTTAACACTATTATGTACTTACCGGGTAAGATTTTAGTCCACTAAAACGACCTAGTATACAATAATTTACTTAGTAAGCGCTTACTGTAGCAAGAGTCGTCGTCCTCACTTACCGGGTAAGACTCTTCATCCTTGTCTAGCTCTTACCGCGTAAGATTTTTGATCCTTACTATATTCATCCGGTGAGATAATGTTACTTGGCAAGCATTTAACCGGGTAAACGTTTGGTAAACGGCCCCTAAATCGAGTAAATAATAGAAAAAGAAATGGAGCAAGCAAATTACCAAGAAAATGAGTACAAGAAACTGAACCCCATGATTTCCTATGTCTATTTCTCAATGCCCCACCTACATGTATTCCTTAACTACATCGCTTCAAAAAGCAAAAGGTTTTCCAAGATTGCAAATAATGAATGAGCTGCAAAAAGCATGAGTAAAAAGAGATCTTACTAAAGCTTAGTTTTTGGACTCGTCGTGGGTTCAACCGCCCATCGAGGAGGAATGATTTTATAATCTTCCGATGGCTTCTCCTGTGTCTCCGCTTCATCGTTTTCCAATACCTCTTTCGGGAACGCATTGGGATTGGTCTGGATGCAGCTCTGCAATGCCACGAACGGTTGCACACAATCCGAGCCTTTCTCTTCCGCAGTACTCTTAAGGAAACATAAAAAAGCCGCTGAAAACTGGGACCCACAGGGGCCACTCCTAAGGTTTTGAATACAAGGGCATTCTAATGCTTTCTGGGCTTTGGCTTCTAAAGATGCATTTGCATCTTCGTTGCCAAATGCTGTGGCTTCGGCAAGTAAAGATTCCATTGAAGGTGGAGAATTATGCGCAGATGGAGAAGATGACTCCTCTGTTTTTGGATCTGCAGGGGAATCAACAGCCTTGCTTTGATCTTGCCCCATTTTGTATTACTGTAGAGAAAAGAACCGAAAACCATAAAGATGTAAGCTATGCTGTTACAGCGCTCAAAATACAAAATAGTGGTCATGACTGATATTTGAAATAGCGGTGGCATAGTGGTCCAAAGATAGCGATTCATATAATATTTCTTAGAATTATGTGTGTGTGTTTGTGTGTGTGCGCGCATGCAGGGGGACCTTCTTTTGAGAACCTATGAAATTGTGATAACCTTGAGAACTTATGCATAATGTGTTGTTTGATATGATCTTTTTCCATCTAAGACTAGGATTTAGAATAATGATTAACATATATTTGTTTCACATGTACTCGATTCACAATGTAAACACTTTTTATGTGTTTGTGAACAAAATTTACATGTAAAAAAGTTTCATACTGTGAACCGAATACATATGAAACAAATATATGTTAATCAATACATTAAATACTATATTTCAACGGAAAAAAATCATGTGAAACAACACCTTAAGATCAAAGTTCTCATAGATCTCACAAATTTTGGAGTTCTCAAATGATTAAGCCCCTACGTATGCATACATAAACATATTTTATGTATTAATTAAAAATATAGTTTCAATAAAACATCAACTTAAACAAGTTTCACAAAACAAAATTGGAAAAATGTTCATAAACGATGATAGAAAACTCGATCAGTGTCAAAGAAGGTTGACTACCGACGATGATAGAAGGAAATCGAAAACCCAAGATTCTGAGAATTTCTAAACTGGATGGTGGATGATATTTGTTGATTGTTAATGGATTAAAATAAAATAAGGACCCAAATCAAAATAAAAGCCCAAAAAAAAGACAAAAATGTAAGCATTAGATTTAAAAGAGGCCCAATTGCGAATATCTGTATTGTGGACCGCTATTTACCTCAAATATCAGTGAAATAGCGGTAAATTGTGCCGCTATTATCGAAACCGCAATTTCCACCGCTATTTTGCTTATGATCGATAACCGCTATTGCACCGCTATTGAGCTGCAATTAACAGCATAGCATGTAAGAGTGACTTGCAGACACGAACATGGTCAACTGTTACTTGGTAAACTAAACCAAACTAAACAGACCGAGTAAATCTCATGCAGAGATAAAGTCTAGGGGGAAGGATGTAAGCAGACCTTGCCGATACTCTAAGGGGTAAAGAGTCTATTTCTGTAACATGCAGAACAAAAATTAACAGAAAACAAGGGAGCAGGGTACAAGTGAGAGAGTGTGTTCAAACGAGCAACAGGTATAAGGAAATAGGTTAAACAAACAAGGAAACACAAAGTGTAGTACTCGTCACCTTTTATTTGGTGTAAAGCTTATGTAAGTTCCAAATAAATGCCATTTTCTTTGGCCAAGTATGCAAAGAAAGAATATACATTGTTTTCAGATGGAAAATGCTTATGCCTATCAGAGAAGAAAACAAACATAAGATAGAACTTGTTAATTTATTAAGGGGTCATTTTACCAACACAAACAGGGTAAGGGTTTAACGGGTAAGAGTCAACCATCCTCACTTATGTTACCCGATAAGATTCCCAATCATAAAAATAGCATGGTATAAATCTCTCTTACTTAGAAAGTGCTAACCGGGTAAGAGTCACACCCTCACTTACCAAATAAGATTCTCAGTTAGCAAAATGGCAGATTGTTGGTAAAGACATCAACTCTGACCAGGTAAGCATCTCTTACCCTGTAAGAGGCAACAAGTGTTTTGTTACCCGGTAAGAGGCAAAAAAGTGTTTCGTTCCAGGTACGAGGCAAAAAGTGTTTAGTTATCCAGTTAGAGCCGGTAAGTATTTAGTAAACGGCCCTAAATGTAGTAATTTGTTGATAGCAATTAGGGGGAAAACACAAAAGTGATAGCTTCTTGATAGCAACCTCGCCCCCTGCACTGTAGACAGGCAAACAAACTAAAAAACTAGAACCCCTATAACCCTATTGCATGCATCCATTGCAGACTAGTGTATCTCCTAATGGCTTCATTTGTTACCTTGGTCTGTAGAAATTCTGTGATGCATAAATGCATTCAAGAAAGACTATTCATAAAAATGAGGGTCCTCCAAAACAGTACTGATCTGGAGTTATTGACGAGCCTAACTTCTCATGCTCAACTTTTTTTAAAGGTTAAACTTTTGACAGAATCTCAAAACGATACTTTGCACATGTTCTCCATTACCATCCATGGGAAATGGCATTCACTGCGTGCACACTAGCAAGTCAAGACAGTGAGAGTGGTAGCAATTCTTATGTAGCAAAGAAAATCAGAAAGTCCACAAGTTCTTCTATCTTTGATGCATCTCGATGGTGATGGGGACACTCGCTTGGTTTTCCTAGAGTGATAATATTATGAATGGGGGATCTAGAAGAATGGTGGTACAATACTCATTGCTGGCAACTTCATCTATGGATGCAAAAGGTCTGATTTCAAGGTTGTGATTCTCCTCTAGGGCTGAAATGTGGCAACGGTTGGAGAAACTGCCAAATGTTTTATCCCACCAAATCAACCAAACTGCACCTGGTGGTTAATTGGCTATTATCACTTAGTGGTACACGATACATGCCAGAGTATATAGGCCTTGAAAGGATTTGCATCTTTCAAGTTAATCTAAAAGCCTACTAAACCCATTCCAGAATATAGCAACAATGGAATTTGTTGTTTTTGTTCTATACTGCGCAAACTAGTATCGTGGTTGGCAAGAAAGAGAAAGTCAACCTTTCACCTTAGTTTAACATAAAAAAATGAACTCGCTGAAACAAATTTCTCATAAAAATTCATATCAATATTACAGTGCCTCCACCCCATGTTCTGCATAAATCCTACACAAAATTACATTGTCTCTACCCCAAGTTCTACATACATCCTACACCCCACACCGATCCAGATCTTACAGTTGCATGGGATTTACATTTACTGGATTTGTTACTTTTGGTTTGATTATTCCTATCAAACTTAGGTACATTATTATAAGTTCCAAAAACAAAAGATACTTCTGCACCTCAAAACAATGTAAGTAAACCCACATGAGCTATCAGTTTTAGTGAGTTGTCATGACTTGTACTTAGAGTTGACAATTACGTTTATTGATTTTTTAAGTTCTCAGCAAAATAATCCAAGACAAAGAGTTCTATATCAAAAGAGAAACACTTAGATCCAGCATGTATACTAATTAAAAGCATTTTGGTAATGTTCTTTTGCTTTACACCAACTACTATGAAATTACACACTGCCTGTGTTGATTTGGAAACAAAATCCAAATCAATTTCGGTTTCGCACTAGATGCGTACTAGGTACTAGGTTAAACATCAAAGATCAGAACTAGATTTCCTTTTTTTCTTTTGGAACAAAAATCGATCAGTGTATGTTTGAGGACTACATATGCTCATTGACTGATGCATTTTGGATAGAGTATATATTTATATACATAGATGTATATCATGTAGTTAACGAAAACCTAAACGGAGAGGAGAACATACCTTTCTTGACACCGGAGAGTTATGGTGCTGTGAAAATCGTAAGACGGAGAAATCAATACCCAAGGCTCTGTGATCGACTGAAACCGTAGTGTGCGAGGAAGGACTTTGTAGGGATTAGGGCTTTCCCGATTTGTGGGTTGTGTTTAGAAAGGGACTATTTATACGTTTTTTCCGGTCAAGACGTTGGGTAAATGAGTTTAAGTTTTGCTAAGAAAGGAAGATAAAAGAGACTGTGTCATATGTATCCGTAATTTGTTAAAATTTTAAAAAAACTTAATGAATTTTGGTGTTTGGAATTATTAAGTTATTGGATAAATTTTTGAAACAAATAAGTTATTGGACATTTCAAAACCTACTAAATAACTCATTGAACCTTCTAAAACATGTTAGATGCATTCTTATAACCTATAAAACTTGTTAATATGATAAAATAATGGAAACATCTGGAAAAAAAAAACCAATGGACTTTCATATTTTGAACGATTAAGATCCTAAAAAAATTTTAAACAAAAAAGGTACTTACATCTATGAAATGAAATAAAATATACCAAAAAATACTTATATTTATAAAAATGTACTTACATCTATGAAATGAAATAAATATACCAGAAAATACTTATATTTATAAAAAAATACTTACATTTAAAAAAAAATATTGATGAAATTTATTTTAATTAAAAACAAAAAATATTTTATCAGTAATTTCCCAAATGAAAAAATAAAAAAGAATTTAAAGAAATTACTGATTAATTTATTTTAATTAAAAATAAAATATATTTCATATATGACTTCTTAAATTGAAAAAAAAAATTAAAAAGATTGCTGATGAAATTTATTTTAGTTAAAAATAAAAAACATTTTGTTGGTGACTTTTCAAATTAAAAAAATAGAAAATAATTTGATTAAATTACTGACGGGTTAACGATAAAATTTAACTAAATACATAATTAATTAAAATTCATCGCCAATGTTCATTGGTATATATGCATGAATTACTTATATCTAATTGATGGCTAATTTAACCACCGTTAGGCGTTCTAACATAGTAACATGTTAATAAGTGTGAAAAATCATGCTTAAATCTTGTCGGTGATATCATTTCACCGAAGGATTAATGACGAATTTTATTTAATTATGTATTTAGTTAAATTTTATCGTTAATCCGATCAGTAATTGAATCAAATTATTTTCTATTTTTTAATTTGAAAAATCAACAACGTATTCTTTTTTAAATCTTTTTTTTTATTTTTTTTTATTTGAAAAATCATTGACAAAAAATATTTTATTTTTAATTAAAATATATTTCATCAATAGTCTTTTTTAAATGTAAATATTTTTATGGTATATTTATTTTATTTTATAGATGTAAGTACTTTTTTGGTTTAAAAAATGTTTAAAGACTTAATCTTTCAAAATATGAAAATATATTGCCTTTTTTTCTAGATTTTTTTCATTATTTTATCACATTAATCAGTTGTATAGGTCATAAAGATGTATCTAACAAGTTTTGGAATGTCTAAGAAGTTATTTAATAAGTTTTGAAATGTCCAATGACTTATTTGTTCAAAAAAATTGTCCAATGACTTAATCATTCCAAACACTAAAGTTTATTGGGTTTTTTTAGACTTTTTCCTATATTAATCATGAATGGTGTATCATTCATTCAGAATGTTATACAAAATTAACGTTCATTATTCATGATGAATTAAAAAAATATGTGGTGTATATTATATTATATTGTTAATACGAAAAGAATCATTTTGGAAATTTAAAGAGTATATAATTTGTTTTATGGGTCTCAATCTATATATATAGAGAGAGAGAGAGAAAGAGGGGGTGTGATTTTTTGTTAACCAATTCATTTGTGTTAACTATAAAAACTCTGTAAACAAATAGTAATCAATCTAGTATCACGGTTCATAGAGTCCTATGAATAGTGATTGAGGGCAAAATAGTAAGGTCATGCTTGTATTACTTTAATGCATTTGAATGGGAGTTACATTACTCATTGAATTTAGCCATTTTGAAATTATCCATTTGATGTATGTTATATTGTTTGTGATTGTTCATAAACGAATGTATTTTGAGAAATAATCATTAACATTTCAATAATCAATATTCTTAATCGAACGATTTCGTTGTGTCTGGTGTATTATATAATGTGGATGGTCAACATGAACATGTACTTAGTTTACAGGATTGCTCACACATAAGATTTTGAAATCGCACAGGATAGTTATAATTTCACTGGATTTCGTAAGATTTGTATATAAATAATGTTTAAAATTATGCTAAAAACTTATGGATTCTAATAACCAATTAATAAAAAGGTAATTTAATTATTTTTGTAATTTATTATAACAAATTATTCATAAAAATATCAAATTTAATTCTATTCCAAATCCAAAAAACCAAACACACCAAGGATTCCAAATTCTTCCAAATCCAAATCCCTCCATCCAAATTCCTCAAAATCATTTCATTAATCAAATGCCTTCAAATCCCTACAATTCCAAATTCTAAGATGAAATCCAACTCTTTCAAAATCATTCCATCAAACCAAATGCCCCTCTTAGGAGGGCGTTTGGTTTGATGAAATGATTTTGAGGGATTTGGAAGCTTTAGTATGTAGGATTTGGAATGTAATTGAATTTCATTACTTATAAAAAATAATAGAAGTAATTATAAAAGTAATTAAATTACCTTTTTATTTATTGACTATTACAAAACAAATGTTTTTAACATTTTTGTCCCATAATTACATACAAATGCAATGAAATACCAACCACCCCACGGAATTTCAAAAATCCCTCAAACCAAACATAAGATTAGAATAAAATTCAATTTCAAATCCCTCCAAATCTAATCCAATACTGCAAACTAAACGGGACCTTAAGGTATGTTTGATTTACATGATTTGATGGGATTTAGAATCTGATTACATTCCAATCTCGTGTTTGATTTGAAGGAATATATGAAATTTTAGTGTAATCTCACAACCATTGGATTTAAGAATCCTATGACCATTAGATTTAACAATTTAATAGGAGTGGTTGATATTTCATGTGATTTATATAATTTATTTGTAATAATATTTTAAAATGTATTAAAAACATTCAATATTGTTTGTAATAATCAATTAATAAAAACTAAGTTAATTATTTCTATAATTATTTATATATTTTTTTATAAATTATTTATTAAAAATTTAATTTAATTCAATTTCATTCCAAATCTTACAAACCAAACATACACCAAAACTTTCAAATCCTTCAACCCTTAAAAACATTTCATTAAACCAAACGAGCTTTCGCATGTTCTATAGGAGGTGGGGAGAAAGAAAGAACGGTAAAAAGACATTCACCCTCACGTGCAGTACATGTGATAGAAACTTATATTTAAACGAGCATCTTCAACAGTTATGTTATTCTAGAAATTTTGAAGATTTGAAGAATTTTAGAAATTTGAGAAATTTTTGCTTCAACAACTATGTTGTTGTCACTCTCTCTTTTAAAACATAGACATAGTGAAAAGGAGCGAGAGTGGATATAAAGAAAATATAATATACCTATTAGAGATGCTCTAAGAAACTATAAACCATGAAACTGCCAATTAATAAACCCCCCAAAAAATAAAAAATTGAGGAAGACTCTCATAACTATTCATTAGTACGATATGCACATATGCATACAAGTAATTAAAAATGTTTATTTGTTTTAATGCACATGTGCATGTGCATTCCAAACAAATTACTTGTATACACATGTGCTACCATACAAAGAATTTACGGAGGTGTTCCTTAGTTTTTCATTGTTTTTCTCCTGAACGTGACCCTAGGAAAGAAGAGAAAGAAAATATAACATAACTATTGAAGATGCTCTAAGAAACTACAAACCATGAAACTGCTGATTAATAAATGAGATTCAGCAAAAAAGCTTCCAAAAAATGAAAAACTGAGGAACACTCTCATACCCATTCATCTGTACATAATGCACATATGCATACAATTAATTGAAGACGTTTCTTTGTTTCAGTGCACACGTACATGTGTATTTCAAGACAAATTACTTGTATACACTATGTATATCATACAGATTAATGGTTACCGAAGTGTTCTTCGATTTTTCATTTCTTATGATTTTCTGCTGCAACCTAACCGTAGGAATCTAATCCATATATTTAATTTTACCACATTGACCACTGTAAATAATGGTTCAGTTAATCCATTCACAGTTTACCAAATCGTTTTTTTACCAAACCTTGTTTATAAATACGACTGGTCTATCATTTTCTAAATTCCCAACAAATTCTATACCATATTTTTGCCTCTCTATCTCCACAATTTTCTACGTACCCTCAATCCAACTATTAGGCAATCCATCATCTTGTTTGGAAAAACGATACCATCAATTAACAAAAATGGAAGAAAACCAAGAAATCGTCAAAACGCCATTAACGACCGCGGTTATCCTCATTTGTATCATTGCAGGTTCTGCGGGTTTGATGTTCGGATACGATACTGCTGTAATCGGTCAGTTCTTTATTGCTTTTTATGCACATAATTTTCGAATATGACTCAATCGAAGATATGATCTGAGGGTATGATGTATGCAGACTTGTTCTCAAAATATTAACGTTAGTTTTGGTTTTAGGGGGGGTAATGATGATGAGGCCATTTTTAAAGAGATTCTTTCCGTCAGTTTTGCTGAGGATGAGGGACGTGAAACAAGACCAATACTGTCTATTTAACAGCCATAAACTAACAGCATTGGTCTCTTCGATGTTCATAGCTGGTTCCGTGTCGTCTTTGTTGGCTGGTCGCGTTACAAGTGTTATAGGACGCAAGCTTAGTTTGGTTACGAGCGGGATCTTGTTCTTAACGGGTAATGCCCTAGGCGTTTTTGCACAGAATGTTGATATGCTCATCGTCAGCCGCCTCTTTGTCGGGTTTGGCCTTGGTTTCGCAAATCAGGTGTGCACTTTTTATATAATGTAAGTTCCTAAGCTCTGTATGACGAATAATGATCATAAATGCACTCTGTGTACCCCTACCGGTTGACCGATCAACCATAAACGGTATGCTGAGCCAATGTTAGATTCCACAAGATAACGGGAGAATCTCTTACAGTTACTACATAATTTCTTCAAAATAGAGACACAAAAGTTAAAATCTGAAAATAACTTACGTTCAACTCCAACGGTTTCTTCATTTTAAAGTTAAAATAATTTAATTTAAAGTTGAAATAATTTAAAAGTTCCAGGGTTGTTGAGATTATAAATGTGCATAATTTGTTGCCCATCTCTACAAGGCTGCTCCAGTTTACATAACAGAAATGGCGCCAACAAAATGGCGAGGAACTCTAACTACCGCTTTTCAGTTCTTCATATGTTTGGGCACCGTAATCGCCACCTTGATCAACTTCGCCGCCAACAATTCTGGCAGCGACCGTGGCTGGCGGCTCACATTGGGCGGTGGCAGCGTACCCGCCATCATCTTGACCACTGGGGCCTTTTTCATACCGGACACACCACCGAGCCTGATCCAGCGCGGCATGCAGGATGAGGCCCAGGTGACATTGACCAAGGTGCGGTCAACTAGGGTGGAAGCCGAAGCGGAGCTGCGAGACTTGATCAGCTCCACAAAGGCCGCGAGATTGAACAACGAGAATCCGTATGTGAAATTAATGGAGCTGCAATACAGGCCACAGTTAGCGATGACAATAGCTATCGCGGGGTTTCAGAAGCTGACCGGGGTGGGTATGGTTGCGTTTTATGCTCCCATCGTTATGAAGACGATCGGCATAGGAACAGCAGGGTCTTTGTTAGCGGCTGTAGTACTCGGAATAGTGAATCTGGCATCGGTACTCGTGTCGGCTTATATGGTCGATAAGATAGGAAGACGGCTTCTTTTTTTACAAGGTGGTGTGCAGATAATCTTTTCTCAGGTACTTTGCTAACACAATTAGAACGGATCTACTTGATCAGTTGGTTTGGTTTTATGGTTTTATATAGGATAGATCAACCTAACAAGACTAACTAATTTAGGGGCCGTTTACTAAACACTTGGTAAGTGCTTACCTGATAAATTTCCTCATCGGATGAACATGAGATGGGCCAAGAATCTTACCGGGTAAGAGCGATGAGAATGATGGAGAGTCTTATCCGATAAGTGAGGATGACGACTCTTACCCAGGTATTGCATTCGATATGTTTTGATATACTAAAATCTTACGCACCAAAATAAATCATAGTGTTGACTCCTATCGGTAAGCGCTTACCGGGTAAGCAATTGGGTAAACGGCCCCTTAGTATGGTAAATTGGTTGACAGTTAGACCTACATGTATCGAAAAGAACTTACCGCGTTCATAACGGAGGTGTTCTTCCCTTGTTGATAAGAACACCTTTGTATGTTCTCACGTCCTTTGTTAACAGAGCTAGAGATCTAACTTCAGATTGATTTGGTTTTATGGTCTTATATGGGACAAATCCACTGAACCTTGGCTAGTCTGGTTCGGTTGCTTGGCAGTGTAGGCCTACACACCTAATATATGTATCTAAAAGAACTTACGGAGTTAAAACGGATTGATTTGAAGGTGTTTATCGCGTGCACGCTAGCACTTCAATCAAAATGTGTGATTGGGACATTACCATATAACTACGGGATCGTGGTGCTAGTCCTGATGTGTCTTATCTCATCGGCATTCGGATGGTCATGGGGTCCGCTTACTTGGCTTGTCCCAAGTGAAATACTACCAATCGAGGTTCGTGCAGCGGGAACTGGAATAAGCGTCGCAACAAACTTTGTCATCACTTTTCTCCTGACTCAATTGTCGATGGCGATGCTATGTTCTATGAAGTTTGGATTGTTCTTGTTCTACGGTGCCACGACATTCTTCATGACCACATTCATTGGCGTATTTTTGCCCGAGACCAAAGGGGTTCCACTTGAGTCGATGGACGAAATTTGGGGTAAGCATTGGTTTTGGAAGTGGTCTGCTTCTACGTAGATTTGGTTTGGTTTGGTTTGGCTTGCAAATATCTTGTGCCTTACTCGACAGCATAAGATGTCTTAATTTCTTCAAGCACCTATGAAGGCTCAAGATGGTCGTTAAGAGAATCCTTGGGTGTTTGAAGGGGATTACAAGACATGCTTTTGTGATCAAGAGATCATCTGATTTCTCATCTCATGTTTACTCGAATACTAGCAATGCCTATTCGGACGCTAATTGGGCTAGTTGTCCTAAAGAGAGGTGTTCCACCAATGGATTTTGGAACTGTTTGAAGGGGATTACCAGACATGGTTTTGTGATCAAGAGATCTTCTGATTTCTCATCTCATGTTTACTCGAATGCTAGCAATGCCTATTCGGACGCTAATTGGCTAGTTGTCCTAAACAGAGGTGTTCCACCAGTGGATTCCGGAGTTCCAAAATTGTTGCTCGATCTAGCACTATGTTGGTTGACTTCTTTTCTACGAGAGATGCAACTTCAAGTACTCTCGTTCTTCTTTGTTATGATGTGATAACACTGGAGCAGTTTACCTACATACCACTCCCGTACACTATCAGAGTACGGAGCATGATGTTATCCAAATCAATTAGCCTATGTATTGACCACTACAGTAATTCAATCTTTTGCATTTGCGTTCCAAGCTTCACATCTATGAACTTGAGGGGGGGATTAATGATCTGTCAAGCATTCTATTCTAGCAATGCGATCTCATGTACTGTAAACACATAAATTAAATAGATAACAGAAGTAATCTCTCTCTCCCCCTAACAGTAGCATATCTAGTCTATTGATCTACTGAAAAATAAGGTTGCAGAAATTTCTTGCTTGAAATTCAATTGTTAACGAACTTGAGACAATTATTTGAACACTAGCATTCCTTAATGGTTGTTTGAGAGGTTCTGCAAATAGAAAACTCAGTAAATAAGGATAAGAAATCGTACCTAATATTCCTCACCATCGCCTTATTTCCTCTGTTTAGCTAACAAATCCGGATCCACACCGGCCGGAAAATTGTGAAAACGGCGACATGCATCCGGTAAAATTCCAGTGGTCGTTGGTCATTTGCAAGCAAGAGATTCATAGTTGAATGTTCGAAAATGGAGATTAGGGCAGATAATGGAGAGAATTCGAGTAGCTATTTTCATGGAGTCCGTGTGTCAACCGAACGGAGGCAATGGAGAAAGGACATCTGAATGTCTGATCGTCTGCCTCACGGTCTATGGTTTGAATTTGTTTTATAAAAAATATATATTCCAACGGGTTACTCCATGGTAATAGGAAAAAATAATGATAATGCTAAACATCATCGAAAAATAACGAAAAAAAAGGGCGCTAAAGAGCACCGTTTACCAAACACTTATCCGCTAAGTACTTACCAGTAAAATTTAACACTATTATTTACTTAACAAATAAGATTTTAGTCAACCAAAATGACATCGTATGCAACAATTTACCCGGTAATCGTTTACCATGGTAAGAGTCGTCTCCCTCACCGGGTTAGACTCTGGGCAGGGACGGACTCAAGAATTTTTTGATACGGTAACACCATATAAAACGGTTGCACCTTTCATGAACCTAATTTTTTTTACCTTACCACGGAGGCACGTGCCACCTAACCACCCCTCTAGGTCCGTCTATGACTCTGGGTCCTTGTCTCGCTCCTACCGAATAAGATTCTTGGTCCTTACCATCTCCATCCAGTAAGGTAATATGACTTGGTAAGCACTTACCCAAGTAAGTGTTATGTAAAATCTATGCTTTCGTTTACCAAGCGCTAAACGTATATGCGTCAGTATATTCACTTACCTTACCAAATAAAATTTCCAGTGATCAAAATGGCATAGTAAATGTCTATTAAGCGTAAATCAGGTAAGATTCGGCACCTCATTTACCGGGTAAGATTATCGGTCATTGTCATTCATACCCGATAAGATAAATGACCAAAATGCAGTAACAGTTTGAAACCATTGAACTCATCCCAACTCCTAAGACAAAAAGCTTAATCATTAAGCCATAAATAAACACTTTCAGCGTAATCATTAAACCATAAAATAAACGTCTCGACATATCTAAGCAAATAAATTTTCCATACCAATTAGCCCATTAAGCCGCAAACAAACAGCCCCAAATGTACCTGAAACAGAAGCGAAACTCATACAGAATGGTAGAACACAAGAAACAAAACAAAGAAGCTAAACACGTACAGAAAACACATTGATGGTATACAAATTGATCCTGCAATTTGAATTCAGGATTTGGTAAGTCAAGTAATTTCTTTCATTATTTCCATAAAATTTGAATCATCCAAACAAAAACCAAAAAAAAAGTTGATCATATCAGTCATTGCCTTAAAGTACTTTGAGAAAGAGAAACTGAAAAATGGCAGCATAATAATGATGCAACCATCAACTGTACATCTAACCCATATCATACTTTTTTCATCTACTTCAAAATGTTTCTATAATAAGCAGCCAACTTATCTGAGTCAACTCACTGATCATCAGCTCGCATTATTGGCGGCAAGGCTCTCGTAGAACAGGATGTAGCCATGATCCGTGTTGCTTGCATACTCCTGAGCGGAACCGAAGGAGGTTTGAACAGCGGATTCGTCAATCATTTCCACATTCTCGTCATCAAAGAACAGCCAGTGGTTGTGGCTTTTCACAAGACTAACGTAATGGCCGTGGTTGGGTCCACTGCCGACATGAACCACCACGGCAAATAGAGAATACTCACAGTCGGCGTCTTCCATGGTGTTTGTCAGCTTGAGCTCTAGAGGGAAAACAACACGATATGATAGCTTCTTGTACCTACCGAGCTGTTCCATGTACTTGAAACGTTTCAAATGTATAACCAAAATATGCGGTGGCTTCTTTATCTTCATCCTCTTTTGTGCTTCCTGCAAGCTGCAAGAACAGAAAGAAACAATCAACAAGTTGCTTCCCCCATAACCTGTTTAGGTAAAAGTTCATTGTTGGATGAACTTTTACATACCATATTGATAAGGGTGCATTTGGTATGCGGTCTAGGACGGTACAAGACAGAATAAAAACTTCTTATCGCACGCTTGGTGCTACATTTAGACTGGGATGGGACAGTACTGACTGGTACATAAATGCATTTTTTTGTCTCACCAAAATAGGTGGGACCAGAACAGGAGAGACGGAGCAAGATTAGTAAATTACTGAACTACCCATGTCAAATTAAAACCTTAAAACCTTTGCACAATTCTTCACATGCCTACCTCACTTTCGCCCGTCTAGTCTACATACCAAACGCAAAAGAAAATATTTATCCCGTGATGAATATCCTGTAGGGAGGGAGATGTTTTTTTGGTCTTGTCTACTACTTCATCCTAAAATATTAGCTACCCTTTTGTGATGTCCCAAAAATAAAAAGCTAAATTTCCCTTGTTGGCAAAATTTCAATCTAGAATCATCTTGTTACCTTAATAATCATTACAAAATACCAATAGCATTGATCCTAGCCACAAGATTTGCCTATTTGCTGCTAGTACAATATGCTTTTAGATATCTAACCGTCACTTGAAACATCCTTATTGAACTATATGTCTAAGACAAACATAGCATTTATTTTCAGACTAAGGGAGCAAAATGCAATAATGCAGACCCCTAGGGATCGGATAATTCAGGCCCACGTTCCGGCAACGTTGTTTTTAGGAACAATGCAAAGAAACATAAGTTGACATGCGTATTTTCTATGAACCATTTTAGATTGCATATAACACCACTTATGCCAGAATTACTTATTTTCACAAGTATAATAAATTACGAGTTAATCGTTTGAAAACACCTTCCATCCTAGCAGACAAACATATCCAGAGAACAAAAGTTCTGCATAAAAGCACTTCAACTGAAAAGGTAAAGATGCAGAAAGAACCAACCTGCAGCATTTATCACAGAAAAATTTATCCTCGGCATTTAAGGTCTCTGTGGAACTGAAGTTTTTTAAACAACTCGTAATTGAACTGTTCTGCTCTATATCGAGGCTCAAATCCAAGAATGTCTCATCCCTTGCAGTCACTGTTTCACACCTTAGACACCTTGTCTCATTTGTAAGTATACCCTGCATATTTAAACATAAGAAAGGAGTGAACAACATTTACTACTTGCACATGTCATCAAATTTGCCATTCACAAATATATATAATCATGTACACTGATCATATAGTTTCCAAGCTATTTGAGATTCTTGATTAAAATTACTCCACTAGCAGGCCATAAATAAGTATTCAAACTAACCTGAAAGTTTTTGTGAACCCAGGTAACTAACGGTTCTTTCTTTGCACCATTCACCAGACCAGCATGTGGCCCATTAGTGATCTTTTCAGGAGGTGATAAATTTTCTGCTGGACCTTTTGCTGTTTCTTTCTCCAGTATGTCAACAAGTTCATTTAACAAGAAGTTCAAAAACTCGTGTGCATCCTACGGAGCATTAAAACGTCACTGATATCAGCAAATTGAAATTATTGACATTCAAAAGCAACAAAAAGTACATGACCGACGAGCATCAGAATTTACAGAGATTCTGAAGGATTTCATATCGAGGAGATCAAGCTAGAGCTTAAACCATTTTAGAATAGTCACCCACAATAATCATATATAGTATGTACTTTCCTAAACTAAGTCCATTTAACAGTTCTGAATCTTATCAATGGCAAAGACAAAAAGTTCACATGGTAATACAGAGAATACGTGAACGTAATAGCATGAAATTACCAGGTTCACCTCATTCAGATAATAATGGCATCCTTCTTCCATCTTATAGGTGCACATCATCTCGATTGGTATCTCAAGGATATCTTTGTTTCCTTCATGTTCTTGGTGCATACAATTTCAATCAGTATCTCAAAAGAAAGTTTTGTTTCCGTTATCACTACTATAAAGCTTATTTATTTAGGAAGATAATCACACTAATTTCTTATAACAAAATGAAGAGACATTGGGGACTAAAAAGGACAAGGAGGGAGAGATTTTCTACAGGAGGACGACTTAGTTTTCCACATAGAAGTGCCGGATTTTCCATCACAGAAACAAAGGACCCCAATTTTCTGTTCGTCGCCATAAATGACAAATGATCATGTGCTTTACTTCTTTCATCTGTAAATTTTTGAGTGAAAGGTCCAAAACCATATTAAACTGGGTCTTCAAATGCCCACTGATTTGGCATAAATTTCATACTTCACAAATCCTCATGGCCTATATATAATTTTCTGTTTGCTTCTGTGTGATAGCGGATAAGTATCTAAGCACTATTTGATAGGCTTCATACCATTATTAAACATGAAGTTTGGTATGTTCAACATTAAGACATACCAAAGGTCTGTGTGTGAATATTTGAATTCCTGATCAACTATGCTGTCAAAATCGCGATATATCGGCTATCGCTTGAAGGGAAAAAATCGGTCATAAAATATCGGCAACGATATTATCGGCGATATTGGGCGATATTTGGCGATATTTTGAGCGATATTTTAGTGAAAAATCGGTCCGATATTCCGATTTTTACAAGGGTTAAAATTTGGACTTTTTTTTATTCCATGGGCCTTATTTTTTGGGCTGCTTAGTAAATTAGGTCTAAATCTAAACTTCTTCAGACTTCTCTCTCGGTCTCTCTCTTTTCTCTCTCGGTCTCTCTCTTTTCTCTCTCGGTCTCTCTCTTTTCTCGCTCGAACTAAGCCCAGCGTGTCTTACGAGTTACGACAGAGCCAAGCGCCCAAGCCACTGTCCAGCTCTCTTCTCGATCTCCTCTGTTTTTYTTCTAGTCGTTCTCGATCTCCTCTCTTCTCTATTACGAGTTTACGTCACAGCCAGCWAGAGCCAGGTTTGAATCGTATTTTGGTTATGAGCTGCAGGTTGTATCATATATTGTTTATGAGCTGTAGGTTGTATCATATATTCTTRCATTAAGAGYTGTAGGTTGTATCATATATTGTTGGCYATTTGCTTATGAAATACTACAAATAATTTAKAATTTGATCAGATACKGCTGTAGGTGAGTGGCTGATTTGGATGCTATTACTTGTTTCACTCTGCTTACTGCTTAGAAGTTAGAACTTAGAAGTTAGAATTAAGATCTTAATTACTAAAAAAGCAATGGAAGTTAGAATGTATTGGATGATGTTGACTCGGATGCCGAACCTATTGCTTGCGATTAGCTTGTTTTTGAACACTTTAGATGATTTGATGTTTTAATTTTGAAACTATATTTCTAAACTCTAATTAATGCATATTATATATATATATATAATTCTAAGAAATATTATGTTAACCGATATTTCCGATATATCACCGATATATCGAATATCGGTCCTGACCGATATTTCGTATTCAGACCGATATAACAGCATAGCTGATCAAGTCGATGAACTTCAGAATTACTTGCTCTCAAGTCCAAAATATCTTTACCCAAAAAGGAAGTCCAAAACTATACAGGTCCTGAAGTCCAGTCCAATGATTACCTTGCCCGGTAGGTGAAGAAAAATGGAGAGAGTAAGAACTGGACATCCTCCGAAATACAAGTGCTGGCTTCCTTGAAATTTCTTGTCACTTCCCTTATGAGACAAGCAGAAGGTATGGAGCGAGTGTAGTGGGGTAATCCAAAAAAGGAGTACAACTGAAGTTCAGGATATGTCCGACCAAATATCCAACCTAGTAAAATTGACGTGCATTGGCATTTTAGTTGTTTCTTTGTATATCAAGTAACCTAAACCTTATTATGCTACCCTTACTAAACTCTCCTGTCAAAACACATGCCCCTACTCCCAACAATGGTCACTAATTGTATGAAGGTGAACCTTGAAGAACGAGTATCTAACTGTAAAGACAAGCTATGGTTATGAAATTGAGATCATCAACAATCATAGACATGACTTTGGTGCAGCTGCAAGCTGGGGAAAATGATGACTATTTATGGAAGTTGAATTTTCAGCATAGATGGTGGGATGAAGACGTGAACAGCTGAGATTTGTTTGAAGAGAAGAAACAGAGTCAAGTTGTGGCCATAATTGGTGTAGACTATGATGATCAATTGTAGAGGTGGCTGATTATTATTGGTGGTGGTGACTAAGGGTGTTATCAAGGTGTGCTTGGGGAGTGCCAACAAATACCTTAGCAAAATTTGGATGGTGATGAGAGTAACGCTGTAAAGAAGTTAAAGTTCATATCATACAAGCTACTACATACCACAACAATAATCAAGACAACAAGTAAACGACCCAATAATTGTAGTCGCACTAAACAAATTGGAATGATAAACTGACAATGTGCTCCATTTGAAAATACTCAGATTTGTATTGTGTCTTCCAAGAAACCAACCAATACTACAACCATTTCAAATCTCTACAGTTTGCACTCTTTCTATAAGATACTACGGTTACTTCTCAAGGAAAAGAAGAGTAAAGAAATATGAGAAGTCGGAAAGAAGAATCATATGCAACATCCACTTTCAAAACAAGTGCAGTGGCTAACATTTCTGGCTCAATGCATACAAAATGAAATACTCTCCTTACATTTGTGACAGCAAATTAAAGATATGGTCCATTTGAAGTACTCAGATTTGTATTTTATCTTCCAAGAAAACTCCATCTATTACAACCATTTCAAATTTCTACAGTTTGCACTCTTTATACTAAAGTTACTTCTAGTTCTATGTAAAAGAAGAGATATAAAGAAGTGCAAAAAAAGATACAGCATTCAGTTCCAAAACATGTGCAGCAGCTAACATTCCTGGCTCAGTTCATACAAAATAAAATACTCTCCATTCTCACATTTGTGACAGGACAACATCCACATCAATGGTAAGTTGGATATCTAGAAGTAGGGCCAAATTTCGTTCATGAAGAAATACAAACGTTGTATTTACATTAGAATCACATCCAAGAAAATTGTAAACCATTCGACTAGAGCTTTTGTTTCATGATATACAAGTAGAAAGCTGCGAAAAGCAACCAGGTAGGTTAAAATTAAAAAGGCCATTCCACACCCATCAGCCCGTTTGAGAAATGAAGATCATAATAACAGTTGATAATTTGCAACAAGAAAACCAAAACAAAAAGTAAGGTACTATGGTCATAGTCGATGATTTAGAATCTTTGAAGGTGATGAGAAAGAAAAAGTGGAATAACCTTATACATCTCACATGGTTTTGTTAAAAGCACCATGAAGTAAACCATTTGCTCTCAATATACGCTTGGAGGCGGGAAGATTTGAATATGCAGAGAGAAGGTGTGATTCCTAAATTATGTTTTTATTTACCAAAAAAAAACAAAGCAAATGATTTATTCAGATGTCTAGTGTCTTGCCTTCATCAGTAAAAATAGTATTATAACACTAGAGAAAATATACTTATGTAGTTATGTACCGTGCGAATTGTGAAAGTTTAAACAACCAAACTCTGAATGTACCTGATGCATGTAACCACGGAAAAGCTCATTTTCTTTCTTCACTCTTTGTACAAAACGCTTTGGAGCAATAACACCTGTTTTCTTCTTCTGTGTACTAATCTGTACAAGTAAGAGAATATCACATCAACTTTCTATTCCAAAACCAATTCCTGTAGTAAAACACAAACAACCTTGTAATGAAAAAAAATCAAACGCTTGTATAGGACTATAGATACATGGTTCAGGATATTTCAAGGTGGAGCCCGATATAATCACAAAGCTTTAAAGCAAAACAACAACATAATGAGGATTTTTTAGCTAGATCTATGAAAGTGTATTATCATGGAATAAGAAAGAAATGCTAAACCCAGAAGTTAGAGTATACAGTTAGAATATCTAATACTATAATGGAAGAATGATATCTGATATATGAAGTCATTATCATCGCAGAATTCATTTCAAATACTTTTAAGTTGCATAAAAACAATATATACCTTCCCAGTTCAGCTTCGTTCACTGAATAATGTGGTACAGGACTTTATCTTCCCCAGGAAAAAGTCAATTACAACAAGCCACATACCCCATCAGAGACCACAAATTGTTACACAAATGCATCAAGCAAAAATGAAAAATTAGTTGATTCTTCTGTTTCTCATATATTAATCATATACAACATTGGTTAATATAGCTAACATAATCCTATCTAATCCTAAAATAGAAGCTAAGTAAAAGGAAAAGATAAATATAAAATACATTATTAACTTTTACCGAATTTAACAAAAACATGTTTGCAAATTCTGACCTCTGCATCATGTGATGCCAGGCATATTCTATAACACCAACAGTCTTTGGGTAAATAGTTTACAAACTTCCACAGACTAAATTAAGAACATATAACAACCTCAATCCTAACCCGATCCTGGTTCTTCGTCAGTCTTGTCGGTTAGAAAATTATGACTAAAATACGGAAGGGGGAGGGACGGTAGATTGAGATAGTTGCTTAAAGCACAAATGGAAGTTTTTGCATAATTTTTCATGACAACAAAAAACATGCAGGTACATTTTTAATATCCTATTATTGATCTAGATTTTAGCATAGTAAGTCAGATTATATCACCTTTCAATAATTAACCTCAGATTACTGCCAGTGAATCCAATTTAACAATCCTACCAAGAAAATGTCAAATCAATGACTTTCATTAAATCATTAACTTATGTGAAACCAGTTGCAACGCCTTTTTTATAAGCACAAGAAGTCTTTACTTTAAGTAGTGAACATAGACTATCTAGAAACTACATGAGTAGTGAGTACCCACCATAGCTCGTATAGAGAATATATGTACTAATTAACGGAAGCAAGAATCGGAAATACTTAAGTTCACTTCCAACTAAATCCATTACCTGCATAAACAATTCAGCCAAACACGTAAGGAGATTCTCTTCTACATCTCCTGGATTTTTACTGTTTCCATAGTATTCAAGCAGCTGTTCACGAAATGGAACACAGAAATAAAGAGCCTGAAAAATATAAACCAAACGACAAAATTAAGCTGATCAGTAAGGGATATAATTTTAAATAAAACTATAGCCAGAAACATGACATACTAAGCACGTTTGATGATATTTCCATATTTGTGTGCGATAAAGAAAAAGGAAGAGTCTCGTCAAGCAGTAATAGGCCAAATAACAATTTAGTTACAGAGAAAGGCTTTATTGATGCTTAGCCAACAAGGATACCTTAAGGATCAACAAGTTGACACCATATGGTGATTCCAGAATTGATACCATGATGGAAGAGCAACATAAATTAAAATCATCTGGCAAAAGAACTATTTTGTGCTATATAAGTAGGATGAATAAGCTGCTCAGGCTGTGACTTCTTTGGTCTCTTTGGCTTTACAAGCAAGTGGGCTAAAATACAGAGGAGTAATAATGAAGCAATTAGTGAAAACTCACTATACTTTATCAATTGCTAAACTTTACCAACTGTAACAAAAGAGCCAAAAATGTAATATCATAGAACTTCATCTCCTTCTATTGGCCAAGGCTTCTTTATACTTCAATTCTAATTGCTTTTTCCTGGTCATCCTAATAGCCAAACTCCATATTGATGAAAAATTTCACACCCTACAAGCCAGAGAGTGAATCACCAGGCAGCAATCTTCAATCCAAACTTAGGGGGAAAAACACAAGCCCCTTTAAACCAAAATGAACGAATATGCATCGCAATGCCAAAGTAATTATTATATTATGGAGGGAACATACTCACTCTAGCTTATTCAATTCATTTCCACTATAATATATAGATATGGTTGCAACAATAGAAACGCTAATAAATGAATATCACATACCAACACAAATGTTTCATCCTTAAATCAACAAAATGTACACAAAACCAACGGAATGAGAGCAATCAAACAGAAACCTGCAAGACGCTGTTGCAGTAGCAAGTGTTGCCAAAGTTTTCGAGTCCAAAATATCGTTCGCCTTCCGGAAATTGGTCTCCTAGAGCTTTCTCGAGCTTAGACCCCGTCGCCCCCATGAGACCATCCACCAAATACCAAAATTCCTCTATTTCTTTCTCTCTCTATCTCAAACCTCTTCCCTTGACCTAACAATCTAAAAATCAAGATAAAGAATCCTCGTTGATTCCAAATTCTATTGCCTAGGGTTCTTCAAACAAATTATACTACGTATATGGCAGAAAAGGAATGGATTTAGTGTGCTATCGATTGGGGTTCATTCTTCGAAACGGATTTCCCAAATAGTGGAGTAAGAAATTGGAATCAAGAAAGTGTGTAGGACTCCACTTTGATCGCTTTGTTATCAAACAGTTATCTGGGCGACTGGGCCTTGTTTTGGTCGGTTGACTCCGCTTTGCTTCTCATCATGGGGAGCATTTATATATGATCCAGAATTGGTACCGGGAATCAATCAGGTCATATGCATTAGCATTAAGCCATTAACCACTTTTACCTTACCAATAATTATTTGTATTTATCCGTGGTTGTTTGGGATTGCTTATTTAAAACAAGTTTTTTATAAAAGCATTTATCAATTTATTATAAACTAGTGTGGCAACCGTGCATTGCACGGTAGTATGAGTACTTTGGTTAATGATCCGAATATTGTCTATATAAATATATGTTAGTGTTTAATAGAATCATCAACAAATACATTTAATTAATTTGAAAAAAACTAATAAAATCTAATTAGTGAAATTTTTGATATATATATATATATATATATATATATATAAAGAGAGAGAGAGATATTTGTTTAAGAATAAAGTTATAAAATTAAATAAAATGAGGAATAGTAACAATAGGGGTGTGGATAACTTATGCATTTTTTGTCTGATTGATGATGAAGTTTATTTCTTTTTAAAAAGAGGATGATGTCTCTACCGATTTTTATTAAAAAATAAATAAATGTACGTCTAAATCACACGGTAACTAATTATATGTACAAAAAGTGTGGTAAATAAAAACTTAGTCTATAAATAATATGATAAGATATTAACCAATTATTAATACATATAAATTACTGTAAATAATAGTTCATTGTTAAAAGACGAATGATGTATACAAATAACAAAAACAAATACTTCGTCCGTCTCAAAATAAGTATTCATGTTTCTATTTTAGTTTGTCCCAAAGTAACTATTCACTTTCAAAAAATAATATCTACTTTTCAACTCTAGTCTTAATTATGAGATAGAGAATTTATCAATCTCTCAATTATGAATGATAAAATTGTCATTTAGTTAATGACAAATTGCATGAAAAAATAACGTATTTTAATTTGATTCTTATTTTGGATAACATATTTTAAAAACTTCCATTTTGGTACCTAAGATGTAAAGTTTTGAACATTTAAGTACTTGGGTAACCGGTTGAAACATTAATCGGTTATCATGTTGATGTGGCGAGTGATGTGATATATGGTTAATGCTTCAACAAATAATATTGAGTTGATACCACATCACTCACCACATCAACATGGTAACCGTTTAATGCTTCAACTGGTTACCCGGAAATTTAAATGTTTAAAATTTTACATCTTAAATACCAAAATGGAAGTTTTGGAAGTACGTTACCAAAATAGAAATCAAGTTAAAATACTTTATTTTTTCATACTTTATTATGTTTATCATCAAAAACTATGATTTAATATATTATTTTATACACTTTTTTTCACTTTACGAAAAAATTAAATGCGGGTTCCTTTAACATATAATGCATTTTTAATCATCGTGTAAATAAAAGAATATATATATTGATGTAAATCAAAATATTTGTTTGTGGATTCTAATTTCATTTATAAAAAAAATATGTTTAACTTCTTATTGAACCACATTTTGGTTATTACTTTAATATATTGATT